CAGTAAGTGCCACTACTATTAGCTAAGCTGACACAGTTCGGGGTTATTAATGACTATCTATACAGATTTGCCCGCTATTTATTCCTTGAAAATATCTTCCAACGTGAACACATGGTGCTTACCTACCCATGTAGTCAGTTGAGCCCCATGTCAGCTTATCCCAAGTATCATTTACTTGGTTATCACCATGTCCTTCTTCTTTGGTTTATGAATTCCCCAATCAAGTTTGTAGAATTATATCTTGATAGATATCCTTTCTTTCAAAATTCCAACTATCCCGCATTCGACTTTGCGCAGCTCGGGGGTTCCCTGTCCACGTGTCGATCATGACATGATTCCCCAACCTTGTCGTCATCTGATTACCGATGGTCGACGATTTTATCGGGTAGTGGCCGAATTAGGTGAGGTAAGAGAATGATTCGGGGAAAGCTGATTAGATTTACATACCCTAGGCCACGTAAACCCTGTACAGTCGACGGCATTAGGCAGTTTCTGTGTCTCTCGGAGAAGCCTATGGAGGCCTAGATCAAGAAGATCTACCACGGCTTAGTCCTTCCGGAGCCCTTAGGGTGGACTGTAGCTAAGTTTGTCCACGCCTTACGGCCGAGCAAACAATAAGCGAATATCTAGTGAATGGGCACCGAGCAATTAGTCCTAGAGTTTTCCTACTAATAAAGCTCTATAGCCTAACGATCTGAAAGGACCGATAAGCCACCACAATTGAAACGGTTTGAAACACGTATAAGTCCTACCACTTTGCTGCGTCCTAAAGGGGGGAGCTCAGGACTCCTGAGAAGCCCGACAGTCCCCAGATCGGTTCTCGAGTATCACGACACCATCGGGCATGACGAAACGAAACGAAACGAAATCGCTGTACCACCTCACTTTTTGAAGAGCCCCGGGATTTTGGTGATACCTGCCCAGGTACCTGTTGGTAACATATGTACCCACACCAAGCTCGTCCAGTTCGATATCAGCAAGAGTACTCGCGTTTTGATAACTTGCCTATCTGAATACTAGTATCGTTCTCGCTGCGATGGAAGAAAAAGTAACGAAGAAGCGAGACTACCATCAGTGATGTTAATATTCCTCACATGCCCCTTGCCATTACTAAGTTTCTAGTCCTCGTTCTCTGTCTTAGAGATCGAATCTCCGCGTAAGTATACCGAGCAGCACAAATTATACTTTTCGCTCTATACATATAAACTACCTTGGCAGTCACCGGCTTCCGGGGATGATCCCGACTTGTCGTCACCCCGCCCAATAACAGCCCAACCAAGTACAATATCTGTAAAAACCCAAGCCTGTATGTTTGATCTTTAGGCTTGGGCTTGCATTAGTTTTCGACCCGGACCCTCAGGCGCGGTTCCGGTCCAGCATGAAGGAATCCCCAGGTGACTTCCCGTTATGGTCCATCTCTCTAGGTTAATCGTAAGATAAACATAGCGATGCCCGTAAGTCCTACATGCAGCACACAAAGTAGGAGTTTGCGACAAAGACGTTTGGATTCTGCACCACCTATCTACCCGCTTCTAATTCGGCACATAATTTATTGGGTTTTTCTTTAATTTGTACCTGTACGTCGTTCCGATTCCAACGCCTACTTTTCGCGGTACTTAGATGCCTCCTTGGCGGAGTAACTACCTAGGTACGGTACCTACTGTCTAAAATAACTCGCAGATGTCACGACTTGTTGTAGAATCAAATTCGATGAATAACATAATAGCTCATATATCTACTACCTTAGATGTATATAGTCTCCATTCATACTATAAAAGTAATCAAATAATATACGTAGACGGTACATGGCCGGACCATTCGATTGAGATATCTCTTCTCTACATGAACTCCTCATACCTAGATAGATAGTTCATATAGACGAAATGACCCGGGCTCTGCTCCACAATGTTTTAAATAGATCGTGCATGTAATCATCCTTGAAGACTCGTGAGACAACATCTTGCGAACAAGACACTTAGCCGAAGCCAAGGATACCTACCTATTCAACCCATCCGCAATGGGGTATCATATGTAATTAGAGAACTAGATTGTTGGGATACCCATGAAGGAATGAATTTATTTTACCAAGACTTCACGTTTTCCGGGATTGCCATCTAGATTAGTTTGATAATACCGAATTCGGTGATATGAAGCTGAGTTGAGACTATGGGTTTATCTCCACAAATAATATGTGCATATGTAGTTTCGAGAGCTGTTACGTTCATGACTTTTAGATGCTTCGTTCACTTTCAATGGATGATATGGCTAGAGATCTTCTACTGAGGGACCTCGGACTTGCATAAGCGCTAATAACCTCATACAATTGGCGAGTATCCATGATATAGACCCCCTGGAGGAAGATAGGTGATATGTATACCTCAGTACCTACTAGGTAAGTATCCAAACACCCAATCAGCTCATAGAGTCTGATTAGGCGAGCTAATCGAGGCCTTATAGTTACCTACCTGGACACTAGATACTCGCCAATCTACCTTGGTATGTATAAAGGATGCTAATAGCCAAGTATAGGTAGGTATATAGTATATAGTATACCGTACAACGCTTGTAGGCGTACTTCTTCATGTAGCATTGGATGAGGTAAGATCTATCGGGCATTTACCTACATAAGCTTTTGCATATAAACTGATGTACTTGCACTATTAGTAGTTGATTTATAACTTTCAATTAGCTTTCTAGTAATCACATTCGAGTAGCGGGGACATGGGTTTCAAACACCGAAAGCAAGTCTATCACAGCAGCATGGTAAGTTATCTAAGAGGATGTACCTTATCAACTGCTGTTAAATGTGAAGAAAAATGATGAGGCCGTTATAAGTTTTCAGATCAGGTGGTCCTTTTGTCTCCGGAGAACCTGTTTTGAACGGGAAATGGCCAATTCGAGGTGCTGAATGTCTCGTTGACTGTGAGATGGATGGGTTGACAACCATGATCCCAGGCACCTAGCCAGCCGCCCTTACATTCGAAAGCTCCATGCGCCTTAAAAATGGAGCTTGGTCAATAAGGGCGTGATTCGCAATGCCGCAGAGTATTACTCATAACCTAAATACGAGCGTCACCCCTTTTCACTAGGAGTTCAGCCCGCCCCCAATACCCAACGCTACCTTGCCTAACAACATACATTAGTAGATACTAAGAAACATAACCGGGTAAATGGACACAGTCATCATTCGATTCCACTGTCTCTTTAAGGAAGCTGCGAGGCATCGGCAGCCATGACTCATCAACAAGATCTAGCCAGCCACCTATCACGATGCAGCGGTGTAAACGCGGCCTCAGAAGCGCGTCTAAATAACCGGAGTAGACCTTGTCCACGACAGCCCAGGTCAGAGATTTCCGATATATTCAGCTACCTGAAAAGCTTGGAGCAACCCTGTCGAAGATGTACACCGCCCTCTCGGATCCGAACCGTACCGATCCAAACAGCTCTTCTCATGCTGTAGCCGACGAATGAATCGATATGGCAAGATTTGGGGGCAAGTATTTGCGTGAAGAGTGGAGAGGAAGCATTGTTATCATGTCAATATGATAAGCCAAGACGACGCTAGGGATCTGTAAAGACCATGTTCAAACCCCTGAGAAGATGGCGTACAGCCGGCGGCCCGTCATTAGTCTCTCTAACATGGACCCACAACTTGCCGTCAAAATCTCCGTCCCTTGCGCCGGATCCAATGGAGCCATCAACTTTTGTGTCCCGCAGATTACCCAACACGTTCGAAAGTTTTATCTTGGAAATCTTTCAAGTCGAGCCGGGATCTGTTATTGGTGGTTCATTCTGCAGGTAGATTCAAATAATTTCCTTTGGGCCGAAATTTATTTGTTGAATCCCGTGAATGTAACAGTTGATGGAGGCAGGTAGATTCGGTGGGTGATTTGTAGTTTTGATACTTCAATAATACCTGAATAATCAAACCCAATGACACCGGATCGCAGTAGCATAGGTACCGTTAGGATGTATGAGATGATAGGAGCTTGATCTATGGAAGAGGGACTCGGCCTGTCGAGGTACGTTGAGTCCATGATGTCCTGTTGGTCGCTAGCTCTGGGAACAGAACAGAAAAAGAGCCTCATCTGTGTGTGTACCGTGTTCTCCTTAGTGAAAGTAGGTAGTTTAGACCTCCTCGCGCAACAACGTCGTTGTTTCCTTGCCCTTTAGTTCCGCCTCGTGATAACATGCCTCGAGGTTCCGTAAGGATTACCGCTCCTATTTCATTAGAAACAGATGCCATGCTCTTGATATTCTATGTATCCTAACATCACTAGACCTCATTCTAATCATTAATGATGATTTTAGAATACGGAATCTGAAAAGGGGGTGGTCTGATGAGCCTCAGGAAAATGAAAAAGAGGTAATAATATCTGAAAAATCTATACCGTAGGTATATATTTAACATTATCTTAATATTATATGCGAGAATAAAGTTATGTGATATAGAGTTGATGTGGGAATGTGAAGAATGATGGTCTTATCTTGGCAGGGAGGTAGCTTCTTCATCGAGGACATCGACATTTTGGCATTGAAAGTCGTGAACCTGAACCGTAGCCGTAAGAACCACTCGTACGTCTCCCACAACCTTCTCTTCCCAGCCCACACCTCGTCTTACTCTGAGGACGTACCATATATCTTAAGGCACATATTCAATCTTACTGTCTCCGCCTGTTCTCTTTGGGCCTAGGAACATGACCTAGCGCCCGACTAGACGGGTGATTCTTCAACTTGAACCCGGGCACGGCAGCGTAAGAAAACTTCGAATGGGTTACAATACAAGTGTAGAGACTCATAGTTTGTTAGACACCTAGCCTGTTGAATAAGGTTGCAGTCAGAGTTCTACCTAGTAGCCGAGTAGGGTACAGAGGTAATATGATGTAAGGAATAGTGTAGATAACGACCTTAATTCAATACATACCCAGTAAATATATAGCGATCGCAAGTATGAATAATTGAGAGCTCATTTTGCAACGACATTCCTATTCTCGCTATGTAACGGGTCAGCATCACTGCAATGCGTTTCTAGTGCCCCATTGATTTCATCGCTAGGATCCGTTAGATTCAACGTCAAACGATTTAAATGCGAATAGGGGAAAGCACAGACACGCTTGACAAACCGCGACAACGAGGAATGCTAGAGGAAGAAGAAGGAAGAAGCATATAAAGTAGAATATTGCAATGACGGTCGAGTAATCGTAGGAGTAGTTAGAGACACAAGGTTGAGAATGGGAAACCGATTAGTCATTTGATGCCATTAGTCCCTGGAACTAATTCAATCCTGCGCGGAAGCGTCCTGTCGAACTACTTCCAAATAATGCCGAATACCTTGTACTTCGTGTCGCCTCCACTTGAAGACCTAGTTTCCGCGTTTTCGAGGTAAATCCTTTGGTGACCCCTAACATCCAGGCAGAGGTACTTGTACTCGAACTCGTCATGGCCAGGACGCTTGGTTAGGTGCGCATTTACCGTGCCATTATTGAGAGGACCTTCAACCTACATAGGAAGACAGGTTAGATCTATAAATCATATGAGCCTCAGGGGCCCTAGCTAGTCAGCGTGGACCTACATAAAAATTGAACATTAAATGCTTGATGCCTCTGGCGTCCGTACTCAGCGTCGACCTATTATCGTCAGTCAAATGAGAGGGCAATTTGTATGGGAAACGTCATCGGGCATACATAATGGGGCGAGCGCGACGCCACTTATTCATTGTTTCTTCTCCATGCGCAACGATCTTCTTGCTATCGCCAAGAAGCGCCACGCACTCTCGATCTTCCCTGACTCGATCGAAGGCTCGACTGAAGTATGCGGTCTTACTCTCCGGAGAGAAGACATCTTCGAAAAGGACGTAGCCAACACCCCCCTAATAAATGGTATGTCTTAGCATATTGCCATATCCGCGCAACAGATAGTAAAAGACGGAAGCTTTACCGCCAAGACTAAGCCAACTACTACAACACCGAAATTGAAGGTTTGTTGTGTGGCACGCGATGCTTTCTCTCCGACAGAAAGCTGATGCCATGGCACATTGCCATCGTCGTTGAATGGCGTGACGGCCCTCCTCTTAGAGGCGGCCGAATTATTCCCTAACCCCTGCTGGGTGGCATAACCGCGATAGAGAAGAGCGGTTGGGAACCGCGGAAGAATGGCGGAAGTACCGAACGGCTTGATTGGTAGCTTCATTACGACGGAATTAAGTCCATGAGAGCTGATTTTGCCGATCGAGGATCGTGAGACGACGATATTCAATAGTTAGAGTTGAAGTTGGTTGAAGTTGGCTGAAGCTTCTCAAGCTTCCGTTGAAATGCAATTCGAGGTGGGGAAGAGACGTTATCTTACTTATCTTAGCGTCTAAAATATGTACCTAAGTACAGAGAAGCAATACACTATTCTATTCTTAGATTAGCTCTCTTTGTTTAATAGGATGTGGGTCCGTGGGTCTACTGTCTATCCATTGAAGTGTCATTTTGGCGAAATCTGGCCGAACTCCTGATTTCGATTTCAACATTGACTTTTAGACTTCATTCCTCCCCCCTTTTATTCTTCACAGAAGACGCACATACCTCCCTATATTGAGTATTGATCTTATTACATTCGAGCCAACTACCAAGATGAGTGCGCTTGCAACCAAGCAGCAGTCGCAGAAGATCTTCGAGAAATTGAAGACAAAGCCTGCGAATAGGGTGCGTGATAATAACATTCGTCCATTCCTGAAGTTATAGCCACCACCGTATGTTTACAAAACACTAACTTTACTCTTGTGCGCGATTAGATATGTTTTGATTGCGGCCAGAATAATCCTACTTGGACATCCGTGCCCTTCGGCATCTACCTATGCCTCGACTGTTCCTCTAACCACCGAAATCTTGGTGTCCACATCTCCTTTGTCCGCTCTACCAACCTTGACCGTACGCCAGTCTCGCCAACCTAAGCAACCTAGCCCTAGATATAACGCTAATCATCTATGTAGAATGGCAATGGGATCAACTTCGTGTCATGAAAGTTGGAGGCAATGAATCCGCCACGAAATACTTCCGTGCAAATGGAGGAAGCGCTGCTCTTGCTAGCAAAGACCCTAAGACAAAGTACCAATCTAGCGTAGCAACCAAGTATAAGGAGGAGCTAAAGAGGCGAGCGGCTAGAGACGCTCTAGAGTATCCCGAAGAGGTTGACGTCACCGATGTCGTTGGAGACGCCGAAAGCAATGCAACCCCCTCTAGCGAACCAAGCGACGACTTCTTTTCTTCGTGGGATAAGCCATCTATCAAGAGACCCACACCGCCTATCTCGCGAACCAACACGCCGCCTGTTGTCGGTCGAACCGCTTCTCCCTTCCTAAATGCTGGCTCTAATGGTAAGGAGATCTCAAGATCTTCCTCGCCCCTATCTAAATCCGACTCCGCCACCGAAGCCAAACCTGCCGCCAGCCGCATCACCACCTCTGCTGCTCTTCGAAAGACCACCACAGGACCTCGCAAGGCCAACGTTCTAGGTGCAAAGAAGACCACAACCAAGCTTGGAGCAAAGAAGGTCACTGGAGATCTTATCGACTTTGACGAGGCTGAGAAGAAGGCCAAGGAGGAAGCCGAAAGAATCGCGAAGTTAGGTTACGACCCGGAAGCCGAAGAGGCTGAATCAAAGCAAACCACTACATCCAAGACTGAAGCCGCCAATGTCACTGCTCAAGCACCAGCGAACCCGCGTGGGTATGGATCTGGCCATACCCGCGAAAAGTCGGCGGCTGAGGTTGAGCGACTGGGAATGGGCTTCGGAAGACTAGGCTTTGGACAAGTCGGCGGTGGTAAAGCTGCTGCTAGCGCCGCGCCCAAGAAAAATGCTGGAGGATTTGGATCTGTTGGTCCCGTCAAGGCTGCCACTGAAGGTAAGATTTATCACTCATAACGACCGATCCCAAAAAATAGGACTAATTGTATCTTTCCAGATGACGATGAGCGCTACGCACGAAATAAGTTTGGTAGCCAGAAGGGTATCTCTTCAGATGAGTTCTTCGGAAAAGGCACATTCGACCCCAATGCTCAGGCCGAGGCAAAGACCCGTTTGCAAGGGTTTGAGGGCGCCACCTCCATCTCTTCAAATGCTTACTTCGGCCGACCCGAGGACGAAGACCCTGTGGATGATTATGGCGATTTAGAGACCGCGGCCAAGGATTTCGTCCGAAAGTTCGGTATCACCGCCGGCGACGACCTCGACAACCTAACAAGTGCTCTAGGCGAAGGCGCCACCAGGCTCCAAGGCGCTATCCGCAACTACTTGAACGGTTAAGCCATGTTTGATACGACAATACGAAACGAAACGTATTAAACCTTCAAGACAACTTCGGTCTAAAATAGGGCGGGGCGAAGGGGGTATGGGTGACGCTTCTTATGAAACCGACTCGATGGGCAACTATTAGAAAAGCCTAGGCAGGTAATATCAATTGATATCGAGTATCACAAACGAGGCAAGACGCGATGAACGGTGTCACGAACACAATGGCTGCATCAGCTCATGATTTCGACGTTATAGAGGAAGTGGCATGTTACGCATACGTAGTAATGAAAACTGATTATCTGAAATCTCTTCGTGGGTTGACCTTGTTTCTTGTTGCCTAAGGCCTACATGATAGGTGCCTAAATAACCATGAGGAGGCATGAATAGGAAGTGCGTAAACTGTTCAGCCAGCCCTAGCTATCTAGTCCAGGCATCTATCAGAGACATCCGGCATCCGACCCACCTATGGCGTTCATAAAACATCTCCAACGCATCCGCACTGTACTTATTCAAGACTACTATATAGGTACCTAGGTAGACAACAAAAAATCAGGCAGTCATGGATACTCATTTCTAATCTAGATAGGTACCTAGTTCAAAGTCTCGGGGGGGAAGAGAAAAAAGAACCAAATTTCATACTCGTTACCCGTTCTAAACCGTAAACCAGAAAGAACCCCCGTTACCAGTTGCTGATAGTCTATACCGTGTACCGCGCCCGCCCGCCCGTATCTCTCGGGTTCTTTTATATGTCGTATTCGCATTGTACTCACATCCCCAGCCCCTTATTCCTGTTCTTATCTTGTCTTGTCTTGTCTTATTTCACAAGTAGGAGGTAGGTAGGTACTAAATGAACAGGCGTACCTTACCCTTAACTAAAAGCGCTAAAAGCCAACCTCGTCTTGAACTCCTCGAACCGTTCTTGTACGTTTACCCCATTCCACGTCTCATTCCCCTCGTCATCCTTGCCTAAGACCGGGGTCCCGACTTGCTCGATAGCCAAGCTAGCTGCGATGCTGCCCCAGGCAGCGGCCTCCTCGAGGCTCTTCCCGCGAGCTAATGCGACAGCTAGACCGCCTAGGAAGGTGTTGCCGCCACCGGTAGGGTCGACGACTTTCGAAGCGTCGGTGTGGTAGGCCGGGATCCAGCGCTCGACGCCCGGATCGACCTCGATCTCCTCGCGGGCGATAGTTCCCTCGGGGTCTTGGAGTAGGCCCGCAAATAGAGCCTCCATGTCGGTGTCCGGCTGCAGGCCGCCGTGCAGAAAGGCAGACGGTTTCTTAGTACGCTGGCGCGGTTTGCTGTTCCCTACTTTACGCTTGCGGCCACCGTTGCGTGCGAGGTAGCAACCTTTCTCGCCGGTGCGGACGACGATGGCAAAAGATTGAAGGGGCATGGAGCCGAGCAGCTGTTCGCAGGCGCGCTCAACGGCCTTAGTGCTGATCTCGCCGGTCTCCGGGTCGAGCCCGGAGTCCCCCATGAAACCGGCCAGCTCCGAATGGTTCGGGCTGATGATATCGATGAGCGGTAGCACATTGGTGCAATTGAGAAGCTCGTCTGGCGTACATAGGTCCGGAACCGGCTCCCAGATGAAGATAGGTCTGGGCAGGGCGCAGCCGTCGGGACCGGAGAGCCCACTCCGCCGCGCCTTGATCTCAGTCACGAGCTCGCGGCACCGCGCGGGCGAGCAAATCAGATGGAAAGAACGTGCCGTAAGTAAATTCGGAGTTAAATCCTCGGCTGTGAGACGCTTCTTCGGTGTTGTGTAACGGAAGGCACGATGCTCGTGTTCGTCATAGCCATTCCAGCCCCGCGTTGTGAGGCGCTCGGGCTCATGGCGTATTAGTGCCGAGGTCTCCCAAGTAGATATAAGCTCCTCAACGGCGGGCGGGAAGTCAGAGCCTTTGTCAACAATCCACCCTACAGAGGTTGAGAGTGGCGGCGGGGAAAAGAGCCGTGCCCCTAAGGCCGAGTAAGCACCAGCGCCACCGAGAATGTCCTTCACCGGAGGCGTTGGTGGGAGGAATTCTATCTCATCTTGATTATGTTAGTTTACTAGATTTCCCATATTTACTCTATCGTTATAGTGCCGAAATCGGATTAGATTTGATGGCAATGTTGATGATACGAAGTGCTTAATATCACGTGTCCGAGGCTTCCAGGTGAAATACGGTCGGATAGATAGAAAGGCTGCTGTCAAGACTGTCCATTAATATCCATATCCCACCCACTTGGTTTGGGCATATTTAACCAATCTGACCCTCGCACACCGAAGATCATACGGCTCTAGCCTTCATAATCAAAGGGCGATGGGTGATAGATATGATAAATAGGTCCAATGAGAAATGAGTACTTCATAAGGAAACTCTTAAGACCGAGAAAGTAAATGAAAATGTATCGTACCGATAATAAACATGCCCAAGGTGACGAAATCTATCTCGCGAGAAACAATGTCGTCGTTCTCGGATTTGGGCACATGCTGGGCATCCATAACTTTTTATTTTGTTTTTCAAAAACTTCAACTCTTGAAAGCTCTCCTCGGCAGACTGTTGAGCGTCATGTCATGTCATGTATCGTACGGTTGGCGTTTATTTTGGAGTGCATGAATGAATCCCCCCTAGACCGCTGCTCTGGCTCTCTTGGGGTATTTTTATGCAACGCTGTCGTATGGTTGTAGTTGAGAGACTGCAGGTCTGAGATGGCCTTCGGTTCAGGGCCGAATTTTTGGTGGTATCTGATAGGCAGAAATTATTAATCAGGCTGAGCTACTGCAATGCAGCCTCACTTCCAAAAGGATCCAACTTTTTGTGCTTTTTTTCGAGGCAGACTCCCAAGGTTCATTAATATAGAATTGTGTTTTTTGGTGGTTTCTCAGTTGGCAAATGTTTAAACGATTCGTTAAGACGTTGGAGGTCTCATGCCTGTAATCGGGTTAGGACCAATCAGGATAAAGAATGAACAGTCAGACTTTCACTAAATGGGTCAAACTAGGGACCCTATTGTTACCAAGTGTACCTACATCTGCTACATGTACTCTGTAAGGTAGGTGCCTCCTAGCTTATGTACAATAGTGGGGCATAGATACTACCTTGGTACTTGAAGCTTCCACTGTCATTTCTTGGCGGCTGTCTGAAGTTTGAGATTCCTACGTTGTACATCAATTTCCTGGCCTCATCGTCTATCCCATCGTACATCGTTGCCTCGCCGTCATAGTAATTCTCATCTGCGCTAATGCCTACTTAACTAGGCATCGACATTTATAAACTTATAAGTTACCAATAGTAGACGAGGTTTTGTGTGTTCTTGTTCAACTCGAACCAGAACTTATATTTCTACGTTGGGTCTTGATTCGTTTTCCCCCTAATCGAAGCTCCAAATATCGTCAAACCTGAACTTTCAAGAAGACCCAAATTACAACTGCCAACATGGCGCAAAATAACATGCATAATTTAGTAACACTAATCAAGCGGTAGGTTATTCTGTCCCCAATGCCCCAATTATTTCCTTTCTTGTCCCTCCAGATCATCGTTAAGAGTGATCAATGATGTATATGTTATGTTGGTCTATACATGTCGACGAGACATAGAGTATTCTAATTATGAATTCCAGGCTAGAAGCTGCTACAACCCGCCTCGAGGACATCGCTTCGTCGACAATAGAGCTGCCCCAAGCTGTCCCCGCCCTTACGGCTACAGTTGCAACACCGTCTAGCCTTGCGAGTCCTATACCACACGCCGCTTTACCTCCCCCGCCTGCGTTGAAGGAGGTACCCGAGGAACATCTACCGGAGTCTATCGAGGAGTTCGATAACTTTATCAGCCAGTCGGTCGAAAAATATGTGGCAATTAGTAACAAATTGGGCGGGTTTATCGCCGAACAAGCTTCTAAGGTCCTGGGGGGGTTCAAACAGCAGCGCCGCTTCTTGTTGATATCTACTAGGGCCAAGAAACCTGATATAACTGGGCCTGATATGGTTATCTACCAAGAGCTGCTAACGCCCATTAACCAGGCACTCATGGACGTCGGTAGCATTAGGGACTCTAGCCGCGGCTCTCCGTTTTTCACTCACCTGAGTGCCGTAGCTGAGGGTATTATGGTCCTGGCTTGGGTTACGGTAGACAATAGGCCGTTTAAACATGTCGAGGAGTCACTCGCATCAGCACAATTCTTTGGAAACAGAGTACTCAAGGAACAAAAGGACAAGTATGTACTGCAAATGATCCAATCTTTAACGTTGTAATTAGAACTAATCTAGGTCACAGAGATCCTATCCAAACCGAATGGATTCAATCCTTTTACCAGGTATTCAAAGACCTTGTCGAATATGTCAAGTTGTACTTCCCCAACGGCATTCCCTGGAATGCGAAAGGGCAGCCCGCTTCTGAAGTCGCAAAGTCATTGACGCCCACCCCGTCCGCTGCCGCTGCCGCTCCACCTCCACCTCCCGCCGCGGGTGGTCCTCCGCCTCCGCCGCCTCCTCCGGGTCCACCCCCCGTCTTCCAGATCAAAGAGCAAGCCGCGCCCTCGAAGCCGGATGGCATGGGCGCAGTATTCAGCGAACTGAACAAGGGCGAGAGCGTAACTAAGGGCCTACGCAAAGTCGACAGATCAGAGATGACTCACAAGAACCCAGCGTTGAGGGCAGGGTCCACCGTCTCCGACTCGTCTAGGGGGAAGAGCCCCGCGCCAGGGAAGAAGCCGAAGCCAGAAAGCATGCGCCTCAAGAAGCCCCCGAAGAAGGAACTTGACGGAAACAAATGGATAATTGTAAGAAGCTCGCGGCCCATGAAGCGTATGATGATGGATAATGAAGACTAATGTTTCGAATAGGAAAACTTTGACAAGCACCCGGATCCGATCGAGATTGAGGCTGAGATGTCGCATTCGATTCTCATCAGCCGCTGCAACCAGACGACCGTTATCATCAAGGGTAAAGCCAACGCTGTTACTATCGAGAATACTCAGCGCCTAAGCATCGTTGTCGACTCTCTCGTCTCCACCGTCGATGTGGTCAAGTCCTCCAATTTCGCGCTGCAAGTCTTAGGGACTTTGCCTACCGTCCTACTCGATCAACTCGACGGCGCCCAAGTCTACCTCAGTAAAGAGAGTAGCTCCACCCGCATCTTCTCTAGCAAGTCTGCTGGTATCAATGTCAACATCATCGCAGGCGATGACGAGGACTATAAGGAGATTCCCTTGCCTGGACAGATTTGCTCATACTTTGACGAGGCAAAGGGGGATATGGTCAATGAGATCGTCGACCATGCCGGCTAAATTTCCCGAACTATACTATTCTTGGAAATGTATTAAGTATGGACCGGGCATGGTGTAAATAAAAGGTGGCGGTGGTTGTCAACGTTGGATTAGGTGTAAGACCAGACGCTACGTGATGTGAAATCTCCAAACAAGCAAGACCTTCCGCCTAGAGGGCGAGCGAGTAAGTGTTAAGAAAGCCAGGATTCCCGGGCATGCTCGGTTTCCCACGGTCTATCGCATTGCCTACCTACTATCTAGGTATCTAGCATTCGTACTATTCTAAGCATTTACAACTTTCATCTTATCTGTTCAAATTCTCGCATATTCACCATACCTGCATAAAATCGAGATCATACGTGAGACTTATTTCAAAGATATTTACTCTGTTAAAAGCTACATATATCCACCAACACCGGTCTGATGCTCTAGAAAAAGATCTAGCAAAAAGGCAGATTTGAAACTGAGGAATACGGCTTGCGCCAATGAGGATAGATCATGATGATATGATGAGATACAGTGGGGAGAGACCGAGGAATATCTACCCATCCCCCACTCCCAAAATTCCCAGAGTAGTAGCTGCGATATGTCTAGAGCAAAGCATGAACGAAACCCCGTTCCTTTTCCTTTTCTTTATAGCTTCGCTTTCGGTGGCTCGAGGGTGGGTAGGAGTATGTCGCGGATATCGTTCGCGGCTTCGTTGATGTAGTGGCTCATCTTCTGGCTACCGATGCCCTTAGATACGATGTTGAAGTTGAGACTAAATTGATTTATATCAGTATATTTCTTCTTCTGCATTCAATTATAACACTATTAGGAGAGATGGTCAGCTTACCTATTCTCGTTGATCATATACGCGATGCCGAATCCGGCGTCGATGACCTGACTCCAGCCGTAGCCGTTGAAGAACTCAGAGCTCAGCTGGCTGGTGGACAAGTACCACGAGCTGCTGTACCCGAAAGCGGGGTCCTTGTAGATAGCGGGGACATCCTCGCCGGGTCCCAGTAGCTTCTTAAGGCCGAAGAGGTGACGGTCGACGCCTTTGCCGTCGGACGCTGCGCTGATATACTCAATATGAGCGTTGACAGCCTTGCGGAACAGGTCTACCCGATCCTTAGCCTCGACATCGGGATCCGCCATGGCGTTGCAGAAGGCGACACTCTCGTCGGACACGGTGCGACACGTTTCGGTACGGCCCTGCTGGAAGCGACGTGTCGCGGCTGACTCATACGTAGGCCGGTTCTTGCCGTACATCTTGTGGTATGCTAGCTGGATTATCATCTGCACGTATGCATCGGGCGAGCACTTGAACTTCTTGATCAAGCCCTTGCCGTAGGCTTGGTAAGCCTGGACAGCGAGCTCGTGCTGGCCGATTACCGTATCAAAGTCCTTGATCGCACGGTCAATCTCGGCTTGAACATCCTTTGTGACCTCGAAGTTGACCGCGACGGGCTCGGGTAGGTTAGATCGGACGGTGGGGTCGCTGAAGTCAAGCTTATTGGCAAAGATGACGTCGTTGACATAATCATTAAGTCTGTGTGTGGGTGTGCCATCCATCATGCTGTGTTCGCCTAGGAAACCAGACGTTCCGTTGTCGTTTACGACAAACTGGAGAGGCTTGTCGTACCACCTGTTCTGGCCATCACCATGCCAGTACTGGTGTGCGCGTTCCTCCAGAGTGACTGGGGAAGCATCATCCAGGCATACGACGAAAGAAGCGGATTCAATGGCTTCGATGGCCGCCTTATTCTTGGGAGAGACGTCTAGAAGTAACTGGCGCGCGTCTGTCCAGATATCTCGGTTCTCGGAAGTAAGCGCACCTACGGCGGGAACTCGCTCAGCGAGGTCATAGATACGTGCGAATTGTGATTCGAATTCAGTTGTGTTGAGTTGTTTTCCATCGATTTCGTGGGCGACCTTAAAAAACTGATTTTTTCGGATCACAATGATGTGCTTGTGCTCCTTGGGGTCATACTTAACAGGGTGATCCGCAGGTCTAGCAGGTACCCTACAGGCATTGAACATCCATTTATAGCTGTCCATGCATATAGGTAGCTTCTTCATGTACTCCGGTTCGAGCGAGCCGCTATCCACCTGTTTCTTGAACTCGAGAGCGGCGGTCGTCAAAGCCGCAGCGCGCTTAGCGGGGTTCCGCCGCCGCCTGTCATCCCGATGAGAGTAGAAATAACTAACATATGGGACTACGGGGTCTCGGTAGCTTAGATATGCTACGTCGTTCCACCACTCGTAGATCCAATTCTTAACTTCGGGCTTTTCCCGCCGCGCAATCAGCTTCTCTTGTAATTTTTGTCCGACACCGCCAGGTTTTATGAATTCATCAATGGCCTTTTTGCTTGCTGCCAATTCGGAGGGGCTTAACAGGGGATGTAAAGATTTCAGGTAGCGGGAGGTGGTCTCTTCGAGAGTCGGAACTGGTAACCGGGGAAGGGATTCCTGGAACCGGAGCATGGCGCCCTTGGATTTATCCTCGACATACCCTACAATTATTCATTAATGATTCCGATTGCAACACAAATTTCCGGACTTTAGTATGTGAGTACTAACCATTGGGAATGGAGCTGTTGCTCCGTGTCGTTGCCGGCGCCATAAATATGCTCTACAGACTCAGAGTCAGTTTTGCGCGATCACTCAAATTGCCCGATTCGGGATCAAAGCGCACCTTCGGCGTTGTAGCTTGTCTTATTCGGGGTATCCTAAGAGCGGTAGCCTGTGCCCGACTCTTTGCCAACGAACTTAACATCCCAATGGTGTTGTCGGAGAATCGTATACTAAAGAAGAAGAAGAGGAAACGAAGGCAAAATGCACAATAGTAGGTACTAGGTAATCTACAAGCCGATAGCTATCTCCCTGGCAATCAAAGGAACCGCGGTATGATGCAGTTTGTATGGGACACGTCCTTGTATTAAACAGTGGAACCTAGGCTATTTCTTACGGGACTCCGTTAATGGAGTCGCTACTTCGTACTTCATACAACACTTGGCCGTTCTAATAATTAACCCTGGCTGCCCTGGGCAGGCGCTACCTAGACAGCCTAGGCTAGCCGTTAGCCGCTGACCCGTTGTTACGAGCGTTCCTTAACAATTGAAAATCGGCAGTACGTAACAAAGCTGCGCCTGCATTTGGGATCTGGCATCTGGTGGGTTGATTCGGCTAGACTTCAGATCTCCGATGCCGAGGTAAAGTGCGGGTTCCACTCCGTCAGGGATCATTATCCTTACCCGCAGCTGCGGGAATTTATGTGTGGCTTGATTTGTTTGTGTCTTGTGATCAAAGCCACACCTCTTTGCTTTTTCCTTTCACATGTTATTTGAAGCTATTGGATCCTGCATCTTATTACATCATTAGTGCCGCGTAACAGCGAATGACTTCGAAGACTTCTAGAAGAACGCGACCCAGGAACTCGGTCTACAGGATATCATATGAAGATCATAAAATATTTAGTCTTGGTTCTTATCAATCAGCCTTCATTTACAGGGCCAGACGTCTTGGTCTTATGGAAAAATTAATACCATAGCCCATCTACCCCTCGATTATCAGGTCGCCCAGTCGCCCTAAAGGGGGACGAACGGAGTTTGCCAGATATTAGAAGAAACCCACCAACCAGAAGTATCACATTTGAGCTAAATCATATTTAGCTATCTCTCTCTCTCTCCATGGGGTACTTACATGAAGCTATCCCGCATGTCGGGGTAGCGGGTAGATGGCTCAGAAATGACAATGACGAGATATGGCCTCGATATCCAATCGGCAGACCCCTGTGTACCTGAAAACACAGATCTAAGAAGATAATTACCGTCGTCATTATCGGATGAAGAGCCCATACGACAGTCATCAAGAGGCTCTGTGGTCTAACTATGCTATTGTTTAGTAAGACTTGGAATGGAGATCCGCGCTTGACGTGTGGAGCGATCTCATAACAGAATTAGCCTCAAGGAAATCCTAGATATGGCCTGAAGGCTTTTCAGCTCGTCGCAAATCCAGACATTTCCGGGATGACGAAACTATATAAATCTTCTTCTCTTCCAAGATCAATTATACGGTAACACCCTCGCATGGCCAAGTATTCCGGTTTCGAGGCGATTTATTAATTGAATTATGAGGAAATAATCCGAATATTGGTAAATAATACCCTATATTGGCGTGAGACCTTCTCTATGTTGTCTGGACGTCCATGTCTCACCCGCATTGGCCCGAGCCTCAGCTGCAACTCCAGGTTTTATTAGCATTCTCCATCGCAGGGCCGCGTTTTAGTATAAACATTCCACCAATATCGCGATATTGTCAATATCAACAACCTATTTAAAATACCAGCTGGAAGCCATGTAGAACTCCGATTGTCAGGCCAGGTCTCTCCTCAACTTTCTTTCGCTACTATTAGCCCAGTCGCTCATTTACCATATGCTTCACTTCTAGTCATTCCTTAAATTTGTTTTATCTTTTTGCAGTTTTCATTCCGTTAGCACAATGACTACGGGATACTCACTCACAAACCATTACGGTGGCCAGGGGCTACTCGATAGCTTCAGTTTCTTCACTGGGATTGATCCTAGTCACGGTTTTGTTGAGTAAGCAAAAAAGTCCAATAGACAGAACTCGTAATCATATATCTAATTCCAAATAGTTATCAAAGCAAGGAGGATGCTTTAGAAAAAAACCTAGTATCTATCGGTCATGATTTCAATAACGTTATACTTGGTGTCGATTCGAACAATACCTATTCAGCCAGTGATAAGGGGCGGCCAAGTGTGCGACTTACTAGTCATGATACCTTTAGCCATGGTCTTTTTATTGCGGATTTTCATCATATGCCGGCTTCAACGTGTGGAACATGGCCTTCTTGTACTTCACAGCATATCCTATCGTGAGGGGTCCAAGCTAACATGTTTATAAGTTTGGGCTTTCAACAATCAACACGATGGTACCGATTGGCCTTTAGGTGGCGAGCTTGAGATTATCGAAGGCGCAAATACTGCCGAGAGGAATTTATTCTCAGCTCATACGTGAGTCTATTAACATCGAATTGACGGTATCTTTACTAAATGAAGCAGAACGGAAGGCTGTCATTCTCCAATTACTGGGTTTTCAGGAAAGCAAGGCTCAGCTAATTGCTCGCCAAGTGTCAGTGAAATACAGAACCCCTTACATATTTCTATGCTAACATAATTATATCAGCATGGAAATATCGGGTGCAATTACGCATCTCCTCCTTCCGATACTACTTCTTACGGTGATTCGTTCAATGCGGAGGGAGGTGGTGTATATGCTTTGAAGTGGGATTCAGAAGACCTGAAATTATGGCATTTCCCACGCTCTGCTATACCCGATGATATCACGTACGGTCATGTCGTAGGGCCCGATCCTTCATCTTGGGGACCACCGCACGCAATCTTTGGTGGCTCTTCCTGCAAGCCTGAAAACTACTTCTTCAACATGAGTCTTGTTATTAACACTGTAAGTATAACTCGCACTTATACGGGAAACATCGATTAATCTGAGCTGGTAGAACTTCTGTGGTGACTACGCGGGCAATATCTGGGGAAAAGCAGATCAATGCAACCAACTTGCACCCACATGCGAGGAATTTGTCGCAAATAACCCACACAGCTTCCAAGAAGCATACTGGGATATAAACTATATCGACGTTTACCAATATGGGCCGCTAACCAACATGACGGTCCCGCCCCTTTCCCCGAGTGTCTCATCCTCGGTTACCCCATCGATCTCCAGCACAACACCTGCCCCGAGTGGAGTGACCCCAACTTTCACTCGAACCATCACTTTGTCTACAGTACTTCCAGTCGAAACCGATGGCAGCATGGTAGACCCAAGTACCATTGACGGATACACACTCCTCGGATGTTTTGAATCTGGTGCCGGCCACGAATCCTTCTCACAGATATCCTCACACCCAGGAATGGACAATGGGGCTTGTGTAGCTGCTTGTACCGGGCGAAAGTATGCTGGTGTATACGACCAGTACGTATCCATTTTAAACACAACTACAAGACGTCCTATGCTAACCCTATTCTAGGACCTGCTACTGCGCTGATACCCTCGGGCCATCTACTGCGGTTGAGAACGCCATGTGTGACACCCCATGCAAAGGGAATGATAACCAAGTCTGCGGCGGTTCTGCCGCCTCCCCTGAGCAACTCGAGTCCTCTGATTTCAAGATCAACTCTGCTCACAAGACCAACACATCCGATCTTACTTCTCAAAATCACCGCCGTCACTCTCCAGCCGGCATCCTCCTTACGGTCTACTCCAATTTCGAAACCGCGCGTGCTCCTCCCGGCGCTCCTGCTATGGGCGGTAGCCCCATGGATCTTTACCCTACCGTGCCGGCGCACAATGTTTCAGTAACCACTGCCCTTACCGTAACTTATACTACTGTATGTTCGACAAACCCGGCTACCCTAGTTGAAGTTGAATACGCGACAACTGTCACATACGAGGACTGCGGCTGCACCGCATCTAAGCATAAGACCGACCATCCCGCTATATACTCCATGAATGCTACGACAACGCTCCCCACTACTGCCATAACGACAGTGCCCATGACAACGCATATAGAATCATGCCGAGCATGTGGCCCACATGGCGAAAGCATAGTCACACTCACCGTGCCTGAGGCAGTAGTCACTGAAGTCGTTACCTCGATCGCAGTCCACACTGTCGTCCCTGTTATCAGCAACAGTACTACCTATACAAGTACTACCTATACACCTCTAGCTCCCGGCACAGTAGTTCCACTTCCTCCCCATCCCAAGCCTAGTGCCTATCCTGGCAATACCATGCCAGTGGTTGCCGCTGCTCCCCCGAGTAAATCGACTAGCTTTCTTGAGGTGATTGGATGGGGCATTGCGCTGTGGTTTGGGATATTCGGATTCATGCTTGTCCTATGATCATGGCTACCTAGGTAGCTTTCTACCCTCACTTCGTTCTCTTCCCTCTCCTTTGTTTTCTTGGTGGCTTGGAGTTCTGATGCATTTCATCCTATCATTTTTGCGCTCCAACCTACTCATTTCATGTATAACATATTCAGCATGGGGTAAACGGTGTTCTAAGGGGTCGAGGCACATGCATAGGGGGTGATAGGGGCATTCTTACGACGATTATGAGATCTAGGTACCATTAGCCTATGTTTGCATTCAATGACAATTCTTTGTTCAAAAATCTGCAACAATCTTCGTGATTCACATGAATATGGAAGCCCCGAACTCGATTCTCAAGCATGGCTCATTTAGCCCTCATCGTAAAATCTTCGCAAGGCAGTGTGTCCTTTTTTTCTACATATATGTGCTGACATACATGTACATAATTCCCAGTAGCAACCGAAATTTTCACATTTTATATCTCAATCGTAAAAGGAGACTTCTTAGTCAACTTCCCTGAAGTCCCATGTTGCATCGCGGCATTGATCATAACGCTTCCGTTGGCGGCTCCGCCCAGCATGAACCAATGCCATAGAACGCTGATGACTCCGTAATAAAACACTTTCCACGCGTCAATCCAACCTGAATGTGGGATCATATCCAAGATTAGCCCTCTCTTCGGACGAGACATGACCTTTTCATAGGACTTCTGGCACTCGTCCCAGAAAATTGGCTGAACTCCCCGCCCCCAATGAACATGTCCGAATAGGTGCACCTTCGGCTTCTTCTCCCATATTTCGCGCAGCAGATTCGGACAACCGAGGGAGAGGTCGAGATGATGCTTCTATAGTGGGAAGCTTAGTCATGACTAGTCGAAGAGGTAGGTGCTGGGGATAGATAACTTACCGGTGGAGTATGCGTGACAAGAATCTCGGTATCTAACGGGATAGTGCCAGCCCATACATTCTCCTGGGGTGTATATTGGAACCTATGCAAAATTATAATTCAGAATCAATTTCAATCAAAAAGGACGCATTTCACATACGCGTGCTCGGAGCCTCCACACTCAGGAATATCGGGAGCTCCGTAAATATTCAGCTTCCGACCACCCTTGAAATTCAGCGTAACAGACTTATGTTCGAGATAATGCAACGTCTTAACATCCACCGTCTTATGAAGCAGCGTATCTTCCTCGGTCCTCGACCTAATATCAAACCAACTATCATGATTCCCACACACGAGAACCTTATGCTGGTGGGGCAGGGAAACGAGCCAATCGATCTGCTTCTGGATGGAAGCGGCGGTGCCGTCGTTCGTCAAGTCGCCGCAGTGGATCAGCAGGTCGCCGTCGGGCACGTCCCGGACGATGGATTCGTGGGTGTCGGACAAACACACGATTTTGATGGGCGGCCTGTTCCGCGGCGGCTTGACCGGGTTCCCGCGCAGCCACAGCACAAAAAGGTACAGGTGGAACACGATGGCTTGCAGAGGCGACTCCAGGATCCAGTCTAGTATCGTCGGACGTTCCCACACCATAGGGCGACGCAGCCCTAGCTTGACGAGCAATCCCATATTTAGTTGTTTTTTACCGATACGTTCTTCTTATTTTTCACTGCTATTTGCTGCTGCCCTACGGCCCTATGACGTAGCACAACGAAGCTCTGTATAAGCTGGCTTGAAAACAATAGGGGTTGGATTCAAAGGATTGCGGGATACTTGATGAAGAGATGTATGCAAGCTTATTTAACGGAGAGTCAAAAGGCAAATATGTTAGCTATGCGGGAGGCATGGCTTTTTATTAGACCTTTCGACATGATTATCTCATGGATTGAGGTCCGTTTTGAAGTTGGGGATGGCAGAAAGGTTCGTAGCTCCCGCCGCAAAATGCAAAATGTAACAGGAACAGGGCCACCCTAGCTCGCTGTCAGCGAAGCTTCGTTGCGCTCCTACAGGGGTGTTAGGGTATCATTAGTGCACACGTTCCACTAGGGCTTGTGCCGAGTGGGCGACGAACAGGACAGGCTGTAAAACTGTTTAGGGCAAATTACAGCGCACATCACTAAAGATTGGCGGGGTTCCAAGATCCCAGGAATCGTTAGACTCTTCCAAGGTTGTCGCACAGCAGGGGAACAGGGTGTGCACAGACCATCTTTGCGTGCCGATTGATCCAGGTGGTACCAATTGATGCCAATATTCAGCTGCAAGTGTAATTAAGTGCGGGATGACGTTCACTGGTTCATCAACTTTGGCATTTCATTGTCCAACTTTCCACAACTCGTCAACTTTTCTTCCCTGATATTCCTTATTATTTCGTATCTGGTTTTAGACATCACACGTCTTTCCTATACATCGTCTCGACTTCTTTTATCTTTTATTCGTTAATTTCCTTCAATCATTTCTCTCATTATCTTTATACCCGTCTCACACACATTTTCTCTTATATGATACATCAAGTTTCACTTCCCTAAATCCCACCGTGAACTTGCACGAGCACCAACCGAACGGAGGTTTCATCATCACACCTGGCTATGTCAAGTCTCCAATACCTTTACGCTTCTAATGGCGACCGTCCTGAGCTCAAGACCAACATGGGCGTGGATTATGTAATCCATTACAAGGTCTCTGGCGATAGGGCTGAAGCTGAAGCTGGTTTTATCCAACTAATTGAAGCTCTCACTGAGGTTGGGCTGGCTTCCGAAGTTAGGCGCGGTGATGATTCGTCTGTTTTAGTATTCGTCAAGGTAGCATCTGAGAAGTTCCTCACTAATCACATCTACCGTGAACGAGTACAGGATTGGCTCTACGGTGTCAGAATCACTGCCCCAGATAAGGACGTAGGCAAGGAATTCGTCAACCAGTCCATCACCGAAGCTGAGCGACTACGTACTGTCTACCTACTAATCAGCAAGCCCAAGAACGAAGGAGGTGCGGGTATCACTCCCAAACTTGGTCAATGGAAGGACGTTCTGTCCATCTTCCCACTTCACAATCACGCATTCAACCGCCAGTGGATTAAAGAATGGAGTACTAGATACTTCCTCAGCGATAAAGATCTCGACGAGATTCGCGACAAGTTTGGCGAGAGCGTGGCCTTTTACTTCGCCTTCTTACAGTCCTATTTCACCTTCTTAGCTTTCCCTGCCGCATTTGGATTCGGAGCGTGGCTTATTCTTGGCCGTTATTCTTGGTTCTTCGGAATTATTAACTCTCTTTGGACTATTATCTTCTTCGAATGGTGGAAGAAGAAGGAAGTTGATCTCGCTGTCCAATGGGGTGTCCGCGGCGTCTCTCGCATCCAACGTCCTCGAACCCAATTTAGGTGGGAGCATGAAGCGGCGGATCCAATAACTGGCGAAGCTGTGAAGGTTTATTCTCCGATGAAGAGATTACGAACTCAATTACTGCAGATCCCTTTCGCCCTAGGCTGTCTGGCACTCCTTGGGGCTCTTTACGTTTTCTGCTTTTCCATCGAGATCTTCCTTGGAGAAATCTACAATGGCCCTTTCAAGTCATATCTGGTTTGTATCCCCGTTCTACGTCGGGTAATAAATAATCTAATTTGTCTTTAGACATTCACTCCGACAATTATCCTCACCGGAGGTTTACCTGCGCTGTCGACTATCCTCGGGAATTTTGCGGAAACACTCACAGATAGGGAAAATTACGAGACCGTCGATAGTATGTAACCATCCTTAACCTCAACCAAATGTTCCCTTCCTAACATCTCCATAGAGCACCATTCCGCTTTGGTTCAGAAGCTATTCATTATTAACTTCATTACGTCCTATACCCCTCTTTTTCTGAGCGCTTTCGTCTACATGCCCTTTGGAAACTTGCTAGTACCGTATCTCGATATTTTCAAGGCTACGGCTGAGAAATTTTCCAGTGAGGACTCGATTACCACCCTGAGCTTCCAAGTCAACCCCGATCGCCTAAGAAATCAGATGATCTACTTTACTGTCACGGCGCAGATTGTCAATTTCGCACTCGAAGTTATCGTGCCCTATGTGAAACGAAAGGCTTTCCAAGAAGTTGAGAAGGTCCAATCCAAGGGAAAGGCCTCAGCACCCGATGATGTGCCCGACGAGCACGCTTTTCTTGAGAGGGTCCGCAACGAGGCACAGCTTGATATTTACGATGTGACCGTTGACTACAGAGAAATGGTTGTCCAGTTTGGTTTCCTATCCCTCTTCTCGGTAGTCTGGCCTCTCACTCCTCTTTGCTTCTTCGTTAATAACTGGGTTGAACTTCGGTCTGATGCGATGAAAATCGCTGTCACCACTCAGAGACCCATTCCTTGGAGGGCTGATTCGATTGGACCTTGGCTCAACTCCCTAGGGTTCATATCATGGTTTGGAACTCTCGTGAGCTCTGCGATTGTTTATCTCTTCAGCGGCGAGACCGAGGGACCTGGAGGTGATCCATCCAACATCGTTCTTTGGGGTCTTCTGTTGAGCATCCTTGTCTCCGAACATGTATACTTGGCCGCGCAGTTCATTGTCCAGTACGCACTGAGCCAGATGGACAGTCCTGGGTTGCAGAAGGAGAGGGCCGAACGATTCTCCATGAGAAAGCAAGTACTGGAGGAAAGTCTAGGACCTGAAGCCACAGAGAAATTGTTCCCTCCCACGCCAGCCGCCGGTGAGCTGATTACCCGAGAGTCGCTAGAAAACGAAGCTCGAAGGATATCCGTATCGGGCGGAGGGACCCCCGATAAATTGTATGGATAATTCTCCACCTTGAACTAAGTGTTGCTTTGCTAACATGTTTACAGGTTCTGGTTAAGACAGCAAGGCATGGACGAGACCATCCAAATAGGCCGTAGCTTGATCTCCCAGACGAATGTGGCTAAGAACTAGGTGCCTGAGCCGCTACGTGGTATTTGGGGGTTTATACGAGAGTCTACATTAGCCTTGGTGTTGACGGTAGTAGTAGGCATGGCAGTTGAGTAGTCGGCCTTGGCCTATTCATAGAAATGTGAATAGAATTCCCAGGCGCTTGCACCTTGATATTAAAAAGATGAAAAATAAAATCAGATTTGTAATCTTCAAACGACGAATGGCTAAGAGCAAATGCGACTATGTTATCAATTGAAATAGAAGTTGACATGCTCTATTGCACTTTTATAACCCTTAACCCATATGAATCCTACCCATACAATTTTACAGAAATAAAGGAAAATCCAGGTTCGAGTTTTCGGCCAAACAGCCACCATGCAAAAAGGTATCTTCATCTCCACATCATGCCCTACCAACCCGAAATTAAGTACCTACCTACCTAACTATAAAAAGAAACCTAGCACCGCCGCCACACGTAACTCCAGCTCTCGGAAGCCGTAGTATCAGGGTCCTTGCCGAAATACCCGTACTGGGTCCCCGCCGCCTGGAGCGCGACGCGGAAGTTCACATTCAGCAAGCCGACATCGCCCCTGGCGCCTGTGCACGGTGAGTACACGACCTGGCCGTCGGGGACTGTGCTCCGCGCCTCGATGTCCTGGTTTAGCTGGCCGCCGCCGTTATTTGCGAGGGAGCCCTTGATTGTGGTCTGTTGTGTAGGAGATTTGTGTATTAGCTAACGTTTAAAAAGGGTAAAAATCAACTTGCTATATGAATTTTTTTTTTAAAAAAAAGTAAATGGAAATCAGCAAAACATACCGTCCTCCCAGCATCCTCGCTCCAAAAGCTCGTAACATAATAATCCAGACTAGCCCCAGGGTCCAGAACCAAATGTCCTTTCACATAAACATCCTTAACCCCGACCTGCCAGCCGGCCGCGCTGCCCGCAATAGACAGATGCGCCTGGCAGTTGACGGAGCTGTCGGCGGCGGTCGTGGTGCGGGCCTCGAAGGAATTCATGCGCAGCGCGATGTCCTCGAACCCGCCGGTGCGGTCGACGGCGGGCGATGCGGACGGACACCCGCTGCCGGAGTAGGAGACGGAGACGATGCGGGGAGGAGGCGAGGGGGCTTCGCGGGTTGTGAGTGTTGCGGGGGCGGCGGCGGTGAGGCCGGAGAGGAAGAGGAGGGGTGAGGTTCGCATTTTGAGAGATATGTGTGGGTGTGAGTATGTGGAGGGGGGTTAAAGTTGGAAATATTGGTATCTGTTTCCTAGTATTAAACCCAAGTCAAAAAAGAGGACTCGGAAGATGACGAGTACCAAAATGGAGATAAATAAGATGAGTTCGAAAATATGAATTAAGTAGCCTAGATTAAGTACATATGTAGTTGCCGTGGCGAAAAAGTGAACCGTCGATATATCCCGCCCCTAGAGCGCGGCAGGCCTAAGTCTTTATACATGGGATTGTCTTGCTCGTTCGATCCATCACATGGGGTTTTGATCATGGCAATCAAACCATGTATTTCTCCATGCATCCAGCTATTCGTAGCGAGCTTAATATCGGACGCCGTCGATGCTGAGGAATCTGGCCCAGGTCTATGGCCCTTCTCGATATTCGTCCCAGGAGTAGAAATCGTCGTCATCACAACCCAAAGGATCATCGGTACGCGTCCAATCCATATCGACCGTCCTAATACGCCACTATCTTGACAGCAGCAACGCAGCCTGTCACTTTTGACGAGGGCCGTAACCAACAGGGCAAGTAGACAGGCATTTTACCCATATTAACCAGCTGCCCATCGCGTACCCGGTAAAAAGGTCCTTGGAGCCCCGGGACCCTGAAATAGTCGAGCAAATCTCGCCACCGCCATCCAGCGTCCCGGATAATAGCAAAACAGTAAGATAGGGTACCGGCGATAACTCAGGTCTAGAATGTCTCGCCTAGTCCAGATGTCCAGCTTTTAATTTGCGGCGCGCGAGATTGGATTAGTCTAGGTAGCCCTCTTCTAAATCCCAAACTCGATCCAATTTTGTGACTTGCGTAGTGGCCCATTTCATAACTCCGGTAACTAGACTGTTCCTAGGCCCGTTCCGACGTGACATATCTAGGACGAGAATTTCTGTTTATTTCGGCGCTGGGTCTAGATCGCGCCCCGATGCTATTTATGGAATTTCGTCGTCGTAGCTCCAATCTCTCTGTTGCCGAGTAAGATGAGCCTAGGCCACGTAATCGGTCCATTGTTGTCTGAAAATGTTGCATCATAGTATCCGGAGTTTAATGTGAGGCTTTATAGATGACTGATAGACCCTTTCTGACGACCTGCATCACCAGGAGACGAGATATCTTGATAATTAGGAAAGACTCTAGTTGACGACGATCAACCGTTGTAATAGAATAGGCCAATCTAGACAGTCGTCTCGTTTAAGGGTTCTTAATGACTGCAGCTAGTCAGCTATTAATGAGCAACTCCAGAATAGGCACGCCACATGGCGTGTAGCGGATGCTTCCCAGCACATAGCTCTTTTTGGATACTACCCCAGAACGCCAGTGCCTGACCCAATACCACATGCAGATGCAATATAACCTAGATCCCAAATCTCTATCAAACCATGATACGTCTCAGACCCTCCGTGCCGCCGAGGACCCGACGTCCTGTCACGGCACATCTACCCTGCCCGCTCTCCCACTTGCCCGCACGGTCAGCCATGAACTCTTCTTGCCTCGGATGCGAGCCCTCGAGCCACTTATGTATGCAGACGTAGCAGTAGACGACACCTGTCTGGCAGGCCGTCGCAGTCGTAATCTCGTCCTCACAGATAGGGCATAGCTCGGAATCTTCAGGCGCAGATACAGTGAAGATAGGTAGTAATGAGGGGGTTGCCATTGGCGCGTCTTCCGCACGCGGCACCTTAAGCTGTTCCTCATCTTCCTCTTTACCCTCACACTGAGCCTTCTTCTGCAATGATTTGACCCCCAACGCAGATAAACCAGACACAATAGGTGGCGGCAATTCCAGGTTCTCGGCCGCCTTCCTCGACAGTTGTTTTGCGAAATCTGACGCATACCACCATTCGAGGAACTTCAACGCGAAAATACTCGTTGGTAGCAGCAGTGATAAGCTCCCCAACAGTCTTGGGCCCATCGTCCTCGGGTTGAAGATACTAGTAGCCGCAGGTGCCGCATTAGCTCCCTTATGCTTCCCTAGAGCCTCAATAGCCTTGAAATCCGCCCCGTTCATCCTGCGTATACGCGTGCCAATAAGCCAGAGGAAGGGGTTGTGGTACTTGGAGCTGTCGAACAAGTACGCTAGGTTGAACGCGATGATAGCGAAATAGTAAGCTGCATGCACGCTCGGATAGATATTCCGTATGAACCACTTGTAGTAGTGCAGAAACCGTTGTTTCAGCGTCGGGTTCGCGGGCATGCGCGTGTAGTTTGCTCCTAAAAGGGCCCGAGGGGCCTCGATCTCGTGACTCTCGTCTAGCTTTCGTTTCAAGTACGGTAGGCCGACCATCACTGCAAGATTCTTCCATATATCTGTCCCGCCAATCTTTAATTGCTCTCGTACCAACTCCGGGGTGACAGTAGCAGCGCGTGGGATCTCGGCGTGCAATGCTTTCTCCCGTTTGAGGCCGTAGAAGTGCTCGGTGAAGCTACCGCCGCGGGTTTTTAAGTAATACCGCTCGACGATGAGCATTGTGATAGCGTAGAGTTCATCGAAGGAATTAAGAGCACGTAGTAGGTAGCGTGGGTACCGGTGAGTGGCGACTGTGAGGAGGTATCTTAATGTCGGTGGCAGAAGCGTGTTAAGTTGTTGCTCTGAAAGAAGCTCAAACAACGACGGCTTCTGATCGTCGAAGTTGCCCTGAAGGGCTGTGACGAACTCCATGTTGGTCAACTGTCCTAGATTATCTAATTGGGTGTTTGTTAGGGATAGGACATGTTCTGTATAGTTGAAAGCGGTAAACCATAACCTGCAAACTGGAGTTGTTCTTGTTATAAGAATACGATAAACATGATAAACACGACCCAAATAAAAGTTCGGATGAGATTAGCAACGTGCCGAGGTTCCAAGGTTGACGTAAAATGAACTTTGGAACCTTAAGAGCTCGGACCATGACCGACTGATTATTTTCGGCAACCCCAGGCCACGCTAGTACCCGTTTGTCAGATAACGTGTAACCTCAACCACCCGGGGTATATGTACATGGGTACATATCCCGTATGCGTGTAAATTAAGACATGTGCATCCATCCGAGACACAGGTATTTGTTACAGTAGATCTTCATTCAATTGTATCATCGTGAAGTTACACATCATAAGCTAGGTCAGGCGTCTACTTGACATAAACCATAAAGTCATAACTTATACCAGAACAGCCAAATAGCTACTACGCCCGGCACCAATAGCAGCAACTCCGCCGACATTGCTACAAGTACACAGAAAGGAAGCTGGTTGGAAACGGCGTCACACTAATCGTCCGTCCATGTCACCCACGAGATGCCGGTAATCTCTAACTCGAGACCCGGCTCATCGTCTTCCTCTCCCTCATCGTCATCATCCTCTAGTTGGCCATTCTCGAAATCGGTCGTCTCGTCGGGTGCGTCTTGGATCAGGGGTAGGAAGTCCTGCATAAGAGCTCTGTAACCACTGGACTCCATGATCTTATCTGAGACCTTCCAGAACGCAGTTGGGCCAGCCGGGCCACGCGGGTCGAAGTCCCTAGAAACATGTTGTTTAGCACACAATTATTCACGAGTGTCTTACTCCGTGAGCCAAAACACGGCCGGCCGACCTACTTATCGAACCAATTCCCCAGCACGCCCTTGGCGCTCTTGACCCCGCCGATCTGAACACTCTCGCTACGCCACCTCTCGACGCCGCTGAAAACGGAGAACGTGGTCCAGCGGACCTCTCCCTCGCGCGTCAACCTTACCGAGCCTTTCGCTCCACAATCAATCATTAGCACGTCCAGGCGTTCCAGAACACGGGAAGAGAACACACCTCTCATACCTCTCAAGTCCGAGTTCGCATTCTCGTCGTAGCTGTCATCCAGCGACCTCGATATCCCCTCGAAGTGCACAACCGGCAGCTCCTGTCCGTCGTCCGGCCCCGGTGGCTCTATCCGCGTCACCCGGATCTTCATCAGGATCAGCCGCGTCGCCTCGCCCACGTCGATCGGAGGACGGGGAACGTCCGCCGTGGGCTGGTCCTCCGACGTGAAGTTGTATGCGAAGAAGTCCGTGTAGTCCAGGAAGCACACGACCCGGAGCCAGGTCCCCGTGATGCCATATGGGTCCTGCAGATCCAATGGTTCAGGCTCATGCAAGACAGGAAGTGCCTTGTAGCTCCCCGGCCAGGTCCCCGCGAAAGGAAGGTCCCAGAAATTCTTACACACGGGGTATTTGGTGAGGCCTAGCTTCCGGAGGTTGGCGCCGATTACGATCATGATAGCCTCAACCTTCTCCCAGTCTACGCGATCCGTCGCGTCGTCAAAGAACGGTCCCCATTTCGTATTCTCGGTATACTGCCTCAGGTCGTAGACTTTGGAGCATGCGTACGGACCCATTCTACTGCGCCTGGTCCGATGGGTTTCGGGGTGTGCGTATAACATAGGCACTCCATAGAGACAATGTAAGTGCGCGCTCTTTTGGTGGTCTACATGAGGCGTTGAGAAATTCGCGTAGGTCAATTCTTGTCGAGCGCGCTCGTAAATGTAAGATCGGCATAGGAATGCGGATTGATTCGTCTCGTCCTTGAATATAGAGCTTAGAAGCTTGGCGTTCCGGGAAGCCGGATGTGTCGTCTGCCGCACTCGCTCGGTGTCGGTAGCGGCATTCTCAAGGAGCGACTTGACAGCATCGTAAACGAAGGAGAGCTCGTGCTTCTATACGAGACCGAGTTAAAAATTAGGTAATTTTATAAATAAGCTAGATCAAGTAGGTAAAGTGGGATATAGGATATAAGCAAATGAAGCTCGATAGGTATCGCACCTTATTATGGACATCATCTCGACGACATATGATTTGCAAACGGACAGCATTCTTCAAGGCCTTCTCCCAATCTAGATCATCGGGTTTGCTCGGATTGTCGTAATGATTGAGATAAACGGTTCTGAAGAGCGATGCGTTGCCCGTGACGGTATGGTAGAAGCTCTTAGAAATGCGGGGGATCCACGCCAAGTCAGGCGGGTCGACATAGCCCAAGACGTGCTGTACAATCTCAGGTGGAAGCTCTATCAAGAACACCATGATTTCTGGTAGATTATGTTAAGAATATAAAGTAATTTTCTCTTATAGGGATGTTCTGAGTAAGGCTGCTGTAACAGACCCGCAGGGAGTGCAGGATTAGGTCACAGTGGGCAGGACAGTAATGTTGCTCGAAGGGACTGAAGGGAAGAGCGGTAGTTCGTGAGACCGAAGGAGGGGTGGAGAGAGTTCGATCCAAGTTCGATCGTCTTAGGCCGGCATTAAGTTCCAATATTCGGAGTTAATGTGGAAGCGGCCAATGTCATAGTATGTAATCAAATAAGTAATCAATGCGCCATTTCCCTGGTCCAGTTCTGAAAGTCCGATCCTTCAACTATGTATTTCCTGCCGGACCACACAATTGGATGGGTCGTTATTACCCTTGATATAGCTTCACAAGCTACCCTACCTCTTACCTGCTTAGATACATAAACCACATATACATATGTACCCAGTAGCCATATCTATATGTACAAGTCAGATCAGAAACCCCACTAGACTAACAATCATCTCTCAATTAGATTTCGGGACCCTTCTCCGACTAAATGCACTTTATGTACATTTCTCCAGATATCGTGAGCGACAAGGAAGAACCATACAAGCAATCGTGAGCTAAGTGCGGGCCATACGGGGTACGAAGACCCCCACGTTTCCGATTATCCCAGCTAGTTTCTTCAAAAACACCACTAAATACAGATAGAGGATCCCGGGCCTTGGCGGCGGTATTATCCATGGGTGGCATAAATTCAACCGTAGGTAGGGGTTTTTAAAATCGATGCTAGCATACATATTGGTAGTCCTCGAAGGATTCTAATCCAACATACCTAATCAACACGGCCCGTTCGTTCCCCTAGCACCGATGCTCATCTCATCAGCACTCTCTCGCCGAAGAATACTAAGGAGAGAACCAAGATCGAGAAGTATCGTGACACTCAATGACTTCGCCAGTTTTGATAAATCGGGATGAAAATCGTATATATGTATAATAAATATCGAATAACACCAAATATCACACCAATATGTGTGGGTGTTGTCGTGTGACAGCGTTGCGTCGTTTTGGGTATATAGCGAGATCGCGGGTTTTATGTAGTTACAATAGTAAAAAATGTCAAGGTTCCAGACTCCCCTTGGTAGATAGTACTCTGGTAGATATAATCAAGAAAAATTTCGATGTCGCTTGTCCGTAAATCCATTCCTCGGCCCTCATACATCGACTTCATGCTCGGATTCTCATTCATCGTACTTCCACATGTTCCATAATTATTCGTTTTATTTGTAATTTGCTGCGCTAAACCACGCTTGCGCCGCTGTTGAGCTGAATGCAATTGCTTAGTAACGTCGCTCCCTCGTGTAGCAGCTCCCATCGCGTTGACTCGAACGAGTCTTTAAGGACCACGAGAAGAGCGCTGTTGTTGTTAACGCCTCTCATGCCTTTCAGATCTTCCGGCGATGAGACCGACCCAACTCTCAACAGGTACTCGCGCATCTGGCTCATTTTCTCGTGTGGATTAGTCGGTATCGGAACTCCAGAACAAGGACCCTCTAGCGCGAAGCCATAGCACCACACGACTAAGGCTGCAAAGTAGAGTACCCAAGGTCGGTTCAACAAAACGTCGTCTCTGGCTAGATACGTGATAACTCCCGCCTGACGGTTATACTCATCCGTTGACGGGGTCATGCTTTCGTGAAGCAATACCGAGCATAGGAACTTGGCTGCATAAAACGTGGCATCGCGAGCTTTCGCTGAAGGCGCCCAGAGATCTTTCATCCTGCGCTGCGCGCTGCTTAGATCCTGTGATCCAATAGCCCTACCAAGTAATCGTTTTGCTCGGGCAAAAATCTGGCAGTCGACAATATCTACATGCATCGCCATGTGTGCCAGATGGTGTAACACGGTTCGACTTTCGAATACCACGTTGGCTTCACTTCTCTTGTCGTAGCTATACGGGTCGACCATCGTATCGGCGCGTTGCAGTGACTTGTCGAAGTCCGTCTTCCACGAGTCAAACGCTTTCGTGAGCGTTGACCGCCATTTGTCTCGGCCGCCAAGAGCTTGCTGGACGCCGCCACCGAGCGAGCTCACTTGGAGATCCCGTTGGTTCATATGCCAACTGACACTTAATAAGCCCGCCATAAGGATCTGTCGGCCAAAAGGATTCGTCTGAACTTCTTGCCCAGCGAGGGTTCGCTTGAGCCCTTCGAGGAATGAGATAGGTTTGATCCCATTAGACATAAGATTTGCCTCTATCCTACCAACTTCGGCCCCGCTCGTGGCCTTCCATAACGAATCATCACACGGGAGGGGCAAGCGCATTTCATGCGCTACCATCACAGTTGAATGGCCAAACATCGTAGCATGAATCGAATCGATAAGAAACGCTGCAAATGCGGCACGTCGTGTCGTCTCATTCGTAATCCAGTGGTTCCACCATTCATCTGGTGTATGCGCAAGTCCTGACGTAGAAGAATGTCGAGAACTATTCGCTTTCTCGTCTCGTGGGTTTGGCGGCGAATCAAGAGCAGACTTCCCTATTAGTGACCTCCCTCTTCGCATGAGCGTAATCGTAGTCGCGTGGTGGATATGCGCACGTTCGTGAAGCTCCCTCGTCGAATACATTTTCTCGTAAAGTTCCAACAGAAGTAATGTCTGGAAAGCCCAGATTTTCGCTGGCGGCCGGCAGTTAACGTCCATGAAAATTTCCCACCTCAGGTGCCACGCTAGAAAGTTGGATAGTTGGGATCCAGCTCTGATAACTTTCGGGCCATGCGTCCTATCCAAACAAGCAGCACCTATTGCCATCACGGCGATTAGCAACAAATTTGGTGTCTTATCTGGCGAGAATGTCGGTTTATGAAGGATGGGTATCTGATCGCTGAAGTGAACCCAGTAGGAACCTATATACTGCTGCATCATCTTCCGGCTCAGCATATGATTCTCATCACTTCTATCGCCATCCAGAATACTTTCGCGCTGCCGTTCGACCGGCGCATGGTCGTTCTCGTGAAACCTTTCCTTAATAAAGTCGAAAATTTCCTGGCTCTTTTCTTCAGATAAGAGAGATTCTGGGAGATTCGGGTCGAGCAGATTTGTGACCGCCATGACCTGTTGATTAGATGGTGGGAAGTATCCGAGAGCCGCGCTATCAGCTCCGTAATACGACATGCTGCCGTATTGTTGCTCTACATAACTACACCGGTGCACATTAGCTTGAGACATTTCACCCAGTTCACGTATGATCACTACATACTTCGCGTATTGATTTTGTTGCATCACATGGCCTACTTGAGGTGAACCGTTGGGGTCATTAGTGTTAAACAGATAGGCGAAGAAGTCTTCCGGAATGGCAACATATGGCGATTTATTTAAAACGCCGTCACTACCAAAAACTGGCAGTGTAGTTTGCGTTGCCATCTGATCTAACAAGACCATCTCACCGTTTGACTGGGAATGGGAATGGTCATTATAATCATTAGAATTTTGCGGCGCGTAAGCTTGTCCAGGTTCTCTGGGTATGCTGGCGGACGTGGAGAAATCCGAGGGAGGTAAGGTGAAGGGCGTCAGGTTTTGTTGAGTGACGTACGGTATTGTCGAGGCAGATTGCGGGGTGCTGGTAAGTTGGCCATGATAATTACCATGCTGCGTCGAAACCGGCGATAATACCCCGTAAGGAGCACCTACATTAGCATGAACTGAAGGCCGTGGAGGACCAGAGGGAGAATGATGCGGGAGCCGCGCATTATGGGAAGCGGCATAAGCTGAATCTTGGTGAATATAGCCATCAACGCCATTTGGGGGGCCGCCGTGAGAAAAAGCTGCAGGCGGCGTGTTTGCTATCGGGGTATAAGGTGTGCCGATGGAATCTTTTGGTGACTGGTATTCATAGTGAGCTCCGCGTCCTTGAGTGTAAGGGCTTGGACCAAGCCTATCGGAATCGGGAGAAACGGCACTAGGCGTAGGGTACGGAGCTCTTACGTTGTCGACGGGAGAGGTCTGGCTGATCAAAGAATCTTTTCTGTTTAGCGCAGACCCTTTTGCAGTGTGGCGGTCTTTATGACGGTTGCACAAATCGAGTCGGACGAACTGGCGCTTGCAATCCTGAAAGTCGCATCTGTAGATCTGTTTCGGGGAATGATTCAATTGATGTCGGTAGCTTTAAGTATCACCTGATTAGTAGAGCACTTCAAATCGAGCGCAAACGTTACCACTTTTTTTCCTGAAAAATAAAATCAAAAAAGGCTCACAGGTGCTCGGCTCTCGAATAACTCTTGCCACAACCTTCAGTAGGGCACTCGAATTTCTTATCCAGACCCTTGCGACTCCTCCTCCGCTTCCTCACGGGACCATCCGAGTTTGACGAATTTCCATTCTTCGTGTCACCATCGCCGGCCTGGTCGCTGTCATTGCCATCGAGATCTTTGTCGATAGAACGACTTCGACGACGACCTCGCTGCGGATCGTCCTCCTGGTGAGGGTTCTGGGGCGGCGTCGGTTCCTGGACCTCGGTCATGATTGGGCTCGATCGCGCGAAAGGCAAGGCGGATGAGTTGATGTCTATGATCGGTGCGGGGAGAACAGAAGTCATGTTCCATTAAAGCGTCATGATCTTGCAATAATCGTGGCGCTTCAATTCCGGGCCGCTTTACGGCGACTGGTCGCACCCCTCGTGGGGAGGCTCCCGTCGTACCTTTGGATTGGATAATAATTGGCTGGAAACGGCTTGGCCACACGCGCGCACACGTACCCTCCTTCTCCTTCTCTATTTCTCTAGCTTGAGTAAACGTATTAGACCAGGAGGCAGACCGAGGAAACACGTTGGTGCCACAATCCGACGATCTATGCGTGTTACGACGGAACAGCCCTAGCCAGGTATCGAAGAGGCGCAAACGGCACAGGAGAAGCAAAACAAATGTAATTAGCTTCCCGAATGATCGTTTGCAACGGGACCGGACGGGTAGATGATAAACCTAGGCAGGTGTTATATTGTTAAAAATAAAATAAAATCCAAAAAGAAGTGCCTTCGAAACAAACGACCTCGCCCGAACCAGGGAAGTACCATATGATGCGGCTACCACATAACGGGCCAAATCAAGGAAGACCCAGGCGCTAGCTATATCTTAGTTGCTTAATAACCTCAATAGACTCGATCACCAGATGTAGTGAATAAATCGGAGGTGAGCTGATTCAATGTGAGTATGGAATATGGGACACGCGATAATCGTGCTAAAAAGTTCAAAGGTCCAAAATTCCAAAAGTCCAAGAATCAAGAGACCAAACTTAAGTTTGCCTAGACCGCGAGGGAAGATGATTAGTCTTTCTAGTTCTGGGGTCCCACGGGTAGGAAGGTTCGAATTTGTAAATGCCGCCCATTGCGGTAAATTGCCCATGGAACGGAAGGCCTTTTTTAAGGAGCAGGTACACACCTAGCGTGCCCAAGGTGCCTGCCCTTCGTGTACCTCGTAGCCTAGGTAGGTACCTAGTAGGTTATGGTAGTTACCATAACCAAGCTAGCGCGGCTGGGCGGGGTTCAAGGTGCAATGCAATTAAGTGGGACAGAATTTGAGGAAGGATGCAACATCGAAAACTAAGACTAAAGTACCCAGTTAGGCATAAGTCGTGTGGGAAAGTACATGGGATATCGTGATACGGCGATACCTACTGGGTGGGTATAGCGAGTATCCATCAACGTCCAGGCTGCCAGGGTACTCTTGTACACATCGTTTTTGGGGGAAGAGGGGAGACCCGGAGGAGAATCAGTGACAAGACATGGGGAATTATGATCGATACATGTATTCTACGTACCTAAGTATATATAGTACGTAGTAATAATTTATTAGTATAACACCACATAATATTTATATCACGACCTGGATTGGTTAAGGGCATGTATTGGAAGTAGGAATTAGTCCGACGGGACGGGGCTGTTCAGTAGGTAGCCAACGAATGAACGATCTACGAAATGATCCCCCAGATTTAAATGTACCTAGATTTGTAGACATCTATGTACATAATAGTATAAATCGACAATAGATGTACGCGTACAGATATATAAAGGTCCAAGGTAAGGTCGGTAGATATGTTGAGCTAGGAACCTTGGAAGATTTGAAGATTCTTATACATTAAGTAGATGGGGAACCGAAAATCTACCCGTCCACAACTATGCACTTACTTACCTGGGGTTCCATTGCAGACGAGAAACCCGTCGGAATGCACGTTGTTGCGAAAACATGACACTCGACAAGGGGGATTGACTGGTCCGCCTAATGACAAGACAAGGGAAAGGTTATTATCGGGGAGAAGAAGTTGTTGTGTTAAAATAGTCGGCGATGTTAATAACGGCATCAGAACATAGCCCGAAGCTAAATCAAGTCGCATGCAAACCCAATTGATGGCAAGAAAACGTGGGAAGACCTCGAGTAGAGCCACTGATAGACATATATGAAACATACATGCCTGATAGCAGGTACAAATCAACAAAGCGACAACAGTATTGCTCGTGAAGCTGCATAGGATCTCCAACGAGGTCATCAAATATTGATTGGTGATCCATCGCCTAAGCCCTTCCGCGGATGACCCGCACCTGACCGGTTTTGTAGTTACCACAACCAGCGGTTAAAGTCAATCAAGGATAAGTACGAATCCGTAGGTAAAAAGGATAACTCGTGATGAATCGGTGAGTCGGGCGAAGCGGCTGAAAAGGGAGCAGTATTATAGTGGTAGTGGATGACCGGATCGCTAAAATAACAAGTCGAGTATCCCAGGGAATGGGATGAAGATGTGGGAGGAAAAAGAGACGGAGTGGGGGTCTCAAGCTGTTCACACCTAGATAGATACTTAGGTACTGGGTACATAGGTACCTACTGGGATGATGATGGCTCACCCGAATTGTGGAGTGTGCTCCCTGTACGAAGCCAAGGAAACCACCTGCATCTAATAAACGCATGGAGGGTTATATGTGTGTTATCCATGTGTACTTAATGTATAATACGCCGAGTCCAGTTCGCTCATGTTTGGGGGGCAATGGCATACGATGGATAGTCAAGAGAATATATCATGTAAGTTCAATGGGGGGGTTTTGGCCCCCTTGAGTTTTCGCTCCCTGGTCAAAAGTGGGTATTATTGACCAATCAGATATAATCATTTCTCAATGGACCACTTTTTCAAATATGAACTTGATGTATTTCTTCTTGATCTTTTAACCAATCAAAACCCCTTGTCGATTTAGAAGCTCCTTTCTAACCAATGAAAACGCGTATTATAACTGACCCAGTTTTAGTAACCAATGAAAAATGCCAGGCTGGCCAGGATTAAGCCTAATCCGAATAAGTGTTATACACGGTTCAAAAAGAGGCTAATCCCAACTGGATCTAGTGGCATAGCTCAATTGGCTCATTTCAAAGAGTTATTCTCAGAATGGCAGTCGAAAACCTCTCAACCAATTAGAGCTTAGTGATTCGTCTTTAAACTTTTCAATGTACCGCGCTATACCCAGATTGACCAAACCATACCCAAAACAGTTAAGCCTTTGAGCCAGGGAGCGAAAACTCAAGGGGGCGAAAACCCCCAGGTTGAACTTACACGTAGTCTAACCCCGTCCTAACAACCCTCAGTTGCATCTTTTCTTACTACAACATACACCCATACCTACGCCTGAGCTTTAGCTATTCGTTGCTGACATGTCCAGTTAACAGGGGTTTCGTCATGCGTATTAGTCAAATTAGTCAAGCAAGACATCGTCGTAACTTGATGATGCTTCGTCTATACCAAGCCATTGGGGAACGAGGGGAACTTTACATAATACATAGGTGAATAGTAGTTAAGTACCTAGAAACAGAGCCATCGAATAAATATCATAACATTGATAGGGTTGGTCATTATTGGACTATAAATGGGGCCACCGAGTTCAAGCGAGGTGAGACGGCCTTTCGACTCCGTCCGGATGGGATAGTTCCAAATTCAGCAAGCTCGGGATGTTGCTAACACTCATTTAGTTACAAGTTATAATACTGTATTTTATCACACATCGGTAGGTACATACTAGGTATGTAAGTATATACCTAGGTATTTACGTTTAAACTATTGCCCGAAAGCCATACTTTAACGCTTACGACACCTACGAGGTCATTATTTGCTTAGTTTAGTATAATCATTATTTCCGCAACCCGAAGTTGGGTATGTACAGAGTGTTGAAAGCGTGATCCAGTCGCGTGGGTCACTCCATTCGGAAAACATAACCAAACTCTTAGCGCCGATGGTTACGAGTCGTCTGGTCCACCAAGGGACGGGGTAAATGCGCTTTGGTCCCTTGCTGCCCATGTCATCTCACTTGCTTCTCTGGTAGTATTACAAAGAGTCTTTTCCCGTTGGAGATCCCCGCAGTTTGATGTACCTACAGCGTACAGAGAATACAACAGCTTCAGATGTAAGGTACCAGACTAACAGCTGCCTTAATATCGTATGTAGAATTCATTAACGCTTTACTCAATATGGGTTAGAAACTTTTGAGAATCATTGACAAAAAATTATTATCATCCATAATACGTAACATTCACCTCCGAAGACGCAGTTGCGCATGTATGTACCATGGAAACCTAGATGCTTATGCACTTAATAGTAAAGACATACATACGTATTGACATGGAGCTCGTGGCTGAGAACTTAGTGAGGCAGCAGGGCAGCAGCAGGGCAGTCAGAGTGCAGAGCTAGGGAACCCCGGTGTAATTCAACGGAAACGATTCGATTTGAGAGGGAAGGTTTGTGGGGACTGGGGTCAAGCCGACTGATTGGTCGATTTCTCCAAATCTTGGCAGATTTAGCCTAGGAACCACTACATGCATAAGCGTATGTGACTTATGTATTCTGTACATACCTACCGTATCCCACAATATGTTTAAGACTCGAACTTTCAAGTCAGCTATGCTATGCAGTTTAAAAACCCACAGACGTGTTCGTTGTATAATTGGGGATTTCAAGGTTGTGCATAGCTTACATAATTCGTTTCTTCTTGAATGACTAAAATAGAACGAACATTTTTATCCTTTCTCTTTCTCTTTCTCTTTAGCTTCAAAAACGAAAAACAGGGAATCTAGTATGCATAATATAAAATACCAGAACCGATAATCAAACGATAAAAGGATAGTATAACACACCCCCTTGACTTTTGAGAAGTTTCGTAACAACTAGTGTCAGAATAGATCTACATGGTGGCATACATACTATGTAATCTCCCCTCCAGTCGGAAGTCCAAGACCCTTTAACTGTTCTCGGTCAAGGTCATCTTCAGCTGGCCTGCACTAAAGAAGAATCATGAGAACTGCTAACTATCCTAAGCTGACAAGCTAACAGGTGACATCTCAGGAATTATCTATTCATTGGCAATGGACAGTCGCTCTTTTTTCTTTGCCCCCCCGCGCCCCCATTTTTAGGAAGCCTTACTAGTAGGTTAATGAAGACGAAACCCCCGACAATAGATCACTGTCGTCATCAATAGGAGGGCGTGCCGCGGGCTCGGTAAGCTCAGGGTCCAGCCTAGTGGGATACATCTACATACATGTTTGGCATGTTCCAAGAAATCAAGCAAGATGTAAGATGTCCCCGTGAGATGTCTATCACAGACCGGGCAATTACAATCTACTAGCACCTGAACATCTGGACTATTCCTTTCGAGGTGTCTAGATGCTTGATAATATCGCAAAGGTCTTCCACGTCGACATTCGTGCGGAAAGCCCCCCGTCGACATCCCTTGTCTACTTCGTTACCTACTCAATTAGGTAAAATTCAGGAACTCCAGGATGAAGAAAATTTTTATTCTGGTTCAGAACCAAACTACCTTTCTGCCAGTGAGGATGAAGACCCGCACCCACCCTGGCATATGGTCGGATAGATCGATGATCACCAATGAGGCGAATGCTAATGCAACAACGATATACATACGCGCATCCTCAAGTATGTTGAGTATTTACGGTGTTGCATCTACAAAAGCCATGACATAAAACGGGCATAATCTCTGCAGACAACCCCACTGGCATTCGCTTTAGCGAGAAAGCAAAAATAACGCCGTGGATACCTTCATACAAGTTGTGTCGCAACGAATACCTTTGAGAAATCTTCTGGAAGCTGATCAAAGGTGCGGAAGCATCGGAGCTCCTGATCTAGCTCAGTCAGATTTTACTCTGAAGCCCAAGTACATCTCTCGGTCTCGACAGGGTCCAGGTCGGCCTGCCGGACTCCCGCGCTGCCCCATGACCTATTCGGATCCATCGCCCGAAGCGGTTATTTTGGCAGCTGATCAAATAATAGCAAGGTGATTTGTCGACGTCTTCAAGGGAGCGTGAAAAGAGGAAGGAAATGGCAAAAAGTAAAGAGGCAAAGACTTCAGCCACAGGCGAGTTAGCAGGGTGTATATATGCAGGTCGACGAAAAGGGATAGTCGGGGAAGAAAACGAGTTGTACAGGAAAAAACTGGAGTGCATGATAGACAGCTCACCACACCAATATGGGAGCGACTTATTTTTCGAGGGGGGCAGGTCGGGATCGTGAAGCCTAAAGATACGAGTAAGTATTTACAATTCGTTCTCGGTGTAAAAAAAATCATCAGACAATCCGCGAGGGAGGGCGAGTCCGTTTATTCATCACTGTAAGTCGCCCATTTCTTTTCTCCGGTAGTTTCTATTTAATAAGGCTTGCAACACCAGAAACCACGAGCGACTCTAAGCCGTTATCACCTACTGTAACCAGTTTTATCCCCATTAGAGGCAGCATTATACTATGGTCCGTCTGCGGTTCCATCGCATCCGTTTCCCAGCAAGGAGGGCCAACTGATGAACGCTGACAAACCACGTAACGTACACAAATTCCTGCAACTCCACGTGCCCAACTTACGTCGAAGTACGGCTTGGGAACTGATTGACACGGTAGAGTCTAGAGTGAGGCTCATGATCGACGTCCCGATAGACGTCTTCTCTTCCTACCATCTACCAACCCAAACGGATGAGATCTCGGAGGCTATCCGTCCACGGCGGTAAATAGCTTCCCCCTGTCGTTCTTGTCTACTGCATGTAAATCCTAACAAGGAAGCAATGACGAAAACCAGGGGAAAGCAGTGACGCCAGCAATACTCTGCGCCTGGAATTGAAGATCTCCTTAAAATAGCTACTCGGTACGTATAAAATAGTGAGACGTCGCGAATTAAGTCAGCTTCTCTTTAGAAATGATACGTCAAAAAAATCAAGTCTTTTTCCTGAGTGAAAAGCATCACCGAACCGGATTACATATGGATCTGCTCCTCTTGTCCGCTCCAGTCACATCCTTCACGGCCGGCGCAAGACCGGCATCCATTACCGCAACCGGATGCCGACCACAGCTAATCAAGATTCTTTACATATTTCATTACTAAGATATATATGACACTGTATAAATCACTATTGTTAGTTATAACTACAGAATCTTATACATAATTTGAGCTATTTACACTACATTATAAGCCTACTTCGTACCCTGGTAGCTACCTACTACCTAGGTATGTATTTGGTGAATTGACGAGGTTTTACAAATCCATTGCTACCCAGTAGGCATGAATATGAATCAGGACTAACTAGAAAGAAACACAGGTTAAGTTCACTACAGTACTGAGCGTCTTACCTAAAAAGCTTTCTGTTTCTTTTCAGCGCACGTGGTGACTACTCGACTTACTTCTCATGTAGTCTAAAATGGAAAAAATTAAACGGTCTGTCTGGATCAACCTATTTTTCAACCGTCAACCATCCCTATATCTGACAGTCATAACTAATATACCGAACATCATGAATATACATGCGTCTAACATGAAACCAGGGAAGCGTGTTCCGTAATAGGTAGGTGGTTGATTTCGGGACTCGATGTGGAGATGGGAGTTCAAAGCATAAACTTCTTCCTAGACTAGAAACATTCCACCCCAGAATCACACTCCTCCTCAAATATGGGGCCACTTTATATACGACAATACTGTCTACTACCTGGGTACCATCTACGTCGCCTGTTATAATACTCAAGTAGCCACCGGGTTCTATGCTCTAGCTGTGCGTACCGTGACTGCCAGCGTTAGGTATTCATAAACGAACGACCCTGATAGAAATTTCGCTAACCGTAGATAGAAACTTGATAGCTAATAGGTATTGATAGGAAGTCAACTAATCACTTATCTCTTGTATTACCTTTCGAAGAGGGTTATGGGTGGTGACACCCGTATTGAGCCTACATGATTCTGATCTATGGTGTATCATGATATCTCTCAAGATGCTAGAATACAAGAGGATCAATGTCATCTGATTACGGATGCACCTACATATTAGGTAGACTTATCATGTTCAACAGAGATCCAAACGCTTTCTACCACTGAGATATAAGCTAGTTGCAAGACTGCTGTACCACACTATCAAATTACTGCAGCGCATGTGAGACTGCACAAATCCTATCCCGTGGCGAACTTGTCTCGGTAGTAAACTAGGAATAGGATGGTCATCGAATGAGGCATAGCCTAACCAACCCCTTTTCATCCCTCTACATACCCCCACGCCAGCACGAAGTAGGCTTTGAATATATAATAAGTTTTAATCAAGCTATATCGTAAAGTGAAAAGTCCTCACCATTCACCATCTGACAACCATGCATTATCCCTAGAGCAGTGAATCCGGTTACCTAAAACGAATAAGGAGGCATCGAGCATGCATGGAAAGATCTACACAATACCACAGCTATCCTTTGCCCGAGGAAGGATTCTTCTCTACTAGGTAGTTGAAGCTACTTATCTTGTGCTACTCGATGCAGAGATACTTAGGTATTTGATATTGGATAAGAAAGAGACACGACCGAATCTACGAATGTGGCATTGGTGTAACTACCCCTAATGAAGCGGGAAGCATCACTTGGCATAGCATCCTGTACGGGGTTATGATGTAAGGAATACGTTGGACATCACGTTCATTACGACCCTTCGTCGAAGTCACGGGGTCGGGCTATTAGGTAGGTAGGTATTCTCTACCTAGTAGAATATTGAGCAATGGATATTACTTAAGGTTTATAACAGGAAGTTGTTTGGCTAGATGGTTGACCATGACTAAGGTGAGCTTCGAATCCTTCTAATATCCCCCTTAATCCCGAATCATCGAACCCCTGAGAATATTCGACACCGAATCGAACAATGTGGACCCAATGAGCCCTACTTCAGCCTCAGGAGGCTCTCGGTCACCAAGATAGGCGTAGGTAATCAAACCCGCCGTGCTCCGCTATTCTACGCTTCAATCAGAATTACGACGGGTCTTGCCCGCAACCCGCCGCCCATCGGAGTCCGCCGACGACGACTACTATACCGCATAGTATAGAGGCATGTGAGATAATTCCTGTATAAGTAACATATACCAGACGGCCACACGATTTCTAAATATGCTGCCAACTCACCGACACTCTCGCTCATGAACAGCGTGGGGAGCTTCACGAGCAAAACATAGGTACCCTTTACACATACCATAAGATGGGGTATATATTATAGAATAGAATGGGCTATAAGGATCCGTTCTCGTTCTGATGAGGTTGTTCATTAGAGAACCTCTTTTCGTGCCTCCAACCCTTACCTCTTGATCATCTCACTAGGTACTTGCCCCTAAACCATCGTCGACCTGTCTCTAATGAAAACACCTCTAAACCCTGGGTAACTTTGACAACAAGAGCTTTACCAGCGCACGACAACAACCAGTGATACACCCCATAGCTTAACTCAACCCGTCAAGCCCCTCTGTACGGGTAGCAGCGACGACAACCCCCTCAAGAGCCCAAGTTATCTCACGGACCTAAAGATATAAGCTCCTCAACACAAGAGGCTCTTATTACTTATGAACATGAACTGGAATAAGGATTAGGCACGTACCTCTAATGCTCTTTCTAAACCTACATCCCTTCAAGAGAAGACAGCATCGAATGGACGACGTACCATACCCAAGGATCCCCACTCCGTAAAAGTTCCACCACTAAACTACCATGAACGGAAGCTAAAACAACATAGGCTGACATCTCAAGCATCGATACCTAGCTTTATCTCGAAAAGCTCTGTCAAAAAGAGAAAGGTCGATACATCTTACGAAGAGCCCATAAAGCAGGCACTAAGACGTCACGGTCTGGCAGACGAGACAGCGAGAAATACCTCGGCGCAAAAGCTGTCTATTGATTTTTTTTTTCTCTTACAACTCCGTACCTGGACTCTATTCAACCTTGTATGGGAGGCCGGTCTCTGTTCAAGGCCTTCTGCTGCAACTAGCTTCTGGCTATTTGCCTCTCGCGTCTTTGATAACCATCGAATACCTTCTTTGTTTCACGACGATAGAATCGAATTGGTTTTATACCGTCAGCTTGCGCATTCCCATGCCCGTTTCGAGAAATGAGAATATCCTAAACTAGCGTGCGCGTTCGCCCTCCTGTTACGCTTTATATTACCGTCGCGTAACCCTCGCCGCCGTCACTGACCATCAGCAACTTGAATGCAATTCCTCATGTATTCCCCGTTTCTCATATACTCCAGGCTGATGACAGATCCCCCATCTCCGTTCAAGGAAATTGTGAAAAATGCAGTCCAAGCCATAACCCTGTCTCGAAACGCCCGGGCATGATTCAAGTCTGGGGATTGTAGCATGTTCCCGTTATTCCTGGTATCGTCGCCGTACATTATGCTTGCCGTCTGCAAAACCGGTCTAAGAACTACACCTCCTTCTACTGGCCGTTGAATTCCTCAATTCCGGCCACGCTGGATTCCCGATTGTGATAATCAAGAATCTCCGAGTACCTGTTGCCTCGAATGTGTTAGTCATCGTCGCCTCATAAGGAATCCCTTTCAGAGATGCCTGTCAAGGAGCCATAGATGTACTCACATCATGATCTTCCATGTGTCCACAGGTAGATCAGCGTCGTTGAAACTCCAATCGAATTTCTCCTCGGCAACGGGCTCATCGGTAGGGTCGTGATAGGGGGCAATGTAGTCGTGCGCTAGCGCCTCCGTGGCGGTGACCCGCTTCATAGGATCGAACACAAGCATACTTTCGAGTAGGTCGACAGCTGAAAATCGTTAGCTTTTGCTACTGAGTACTCAAGGAGATATTTAATTCAAAGACGAACCTCTTGGATCAGCATTCTTAAACTTGTTCTTGAGAGGCTGTCGTTCCCGTTTTGGTAAGGACTTGACGAATCTCAATGTCTATAATCCCAAGTTAGCAGAAAGTACCAGGTAGAAATAATGTGCTTAACATACATTCTCGCTGGCAATCGTGTTAATAACATCGTCGGGAGGTGTGCCAAGAAGCTCGGTGATGATGGAAAATTGATTGACGTGATCCTTTCCGGGGAATAGGGGCTTTCCCTCGAGCATTTCAGCGAAGATGCACCCTGCGCTCCAGATATCGACTTCCACATCGTATTTTTGCCATGTGAGCATGATCTCAGGAGCGCGGTAATATCTCGTCGAGACATATCCTGTCATTTGGGGGTCCTGGATTCTAGCAAGGCCAAAATCGCAAATCTTCAAATCACAGTTCTCGTTGACCAAGATATTGCTGGGTTTGAGGTCACGGTGGACGACGCCGGCGGAATGCACGTACTTAAGACCCCGCTATATACCAAACAAATCAGCCTTCTATCTTTCTCCATTCATCAACCATGACAAGGGTACGCACCATGATTTGGTAGAGGAAATATTGGATAAATTGTTTTTCTAGAGGTCTCGAGGTGAGCAATCGATGCAGGTCTGTTCCGAGGAGCTCTGTTACGAAGTAACTGACGAGGGGGTTAGCGCGATGCATAGCGGCCGAGATTTTGTCCAGAATATGCGTACATGTCTTCGAGGGGGGAGATGAAGATGTCGCTGAGCGAGATAACCTAGAAATGGGTATGAGCGATGCCTAAAAGCCATTCTTGGGCGACTAGATCTAGCCTACATTTTCGTGTTTGAGATGTTTCAGTAACTTTAGTTCTCGATACGTCCTTTTGGCTAAGACGGGTGTGCTGAAAGGCTTCATAATCTTCTTCACGGCGACATTTTGGTTCGTAAGTTGATCTTTCGCGGAACTATACAGAATCAGTTTGCCCTGGTTAGGTATTGTCTTCGTGCTCGAGAGATATTCAACGTAGCGGTAGAACAAGTGACATACCAGACAAGACCAAAAGCACCCATGCCCACGGGCTGCAGATCCGAGTACCTGTTAAACACATTGCGTCAATTCGGGCGACATTTCAGGCAGCGTCGCAAACAGCCATACCTGGACGTGATCTCGAACGTCGTCCCGAAGATCTGTGCTCGCACGAATTCGGCCATGGCGAATAATGGGTGGATTTGGAGGAGGCCTGGAGCAAGAAGTTTAAAGGGTGATCGAAAAAAAAGGGCGTAAGAATAGGGATGGGTTGTTGTCAGCTATCGAGCGAGGGGGCGGAAAACGAGGGGCAGAGACCCAGGAACGATAAAATCCGTGTACAAATAGGTACCGCTATCGTAAAATAGGCCAGGTTAGTTTAGTTTGAATAGGTCGTAACTATAGGTAAAGTTGACTCCTCCTATTGTTAGGTAATTAATTCTTTTCTTTTTTCCGACTTCAGTCCAGAGAGGAAATAAGAAAACAAAGACAACTTAAAATGAATGGCAATCTTGAAATGCCGTTAAGTTAAGCAGATGGGAAAAAGTGGGAAGAAAGAACAGGATTTTCGAACTTCGAAGTTGGGCTGTGCTGTGGATAAGGTTTAGAAACACGCACCGGAACGGCGATTCGAATGTGCCTGCCTTCTCCAGCGGTGGCGATCGCGATCGAGGTTTTCCTCTATGTAAAACCACTGGAAGTTACTTTTTAGTACTTAGCTAGGCACGCTAGGCATGTATGCTATGCTGGGTACAATACGTGCGATATAATACGCTATGCACCTATCAAGGGCATTCTGGGTCTTCCCTGGACAATGCGGCGTTGCGACCGACCGTGACAAGTGGCTGAAGCTATCCGATGGAAGGACCAACTACTTACATCTGCAAGTACTTCTCAGAAGTACTGTACATATAACCGCACTATTGGCAGCTGCAAGACTTGCGTGTTAAGTGAGTACTTGTACCAAAAAGACCATCACCTTCTTGGGGCTACTTACTGGGCAGACTTGAATCTCTAGTATGAGGAAGACCCACTTACGAAGGACTCACTAAACAACTTTGGAACAGGTGTCGTTTATATGTCAGTTGTCGAAAAGATCGAAAGCCTCCGATAATGAATTGCGTTATTAAATTCGAGCCGTTCTGCTGTTCTTGTGTTGCAGTGTCGGAGAGAGAATATAGGCTGGACAGGCTGGACTACCTATACCTACGCCCAGAACGCAAACATTATGGATCAAAAACATCAATCATACGAAGAAACGAGTCCATTTTGCCTAGCTCGATGCAGAGTTTATCTGATGTTTCCCATTTCTGCCACCTACCTAGGTAGCTCGCAGTCGGTAACCCAAGATGTTAGTTGCTATATGCATTCTTATGCATATAGCAAAGTCTTTCTAGGCATGAGAATATACCTAGTAGGTAGGCGGTTTGACATATCTATGAATAACAACGGATTCGATAGAGCAACAAGATTAAGCGCTTACCCGCGAGACATACGTACATTGACCGCGGAAAGAAGATGGGAATCTACCAAAATGCCGTCCTGAACATTCCAGGAATCTTAATGCGAACCTAATCGCACGTGGTGTGAAGACTTGGAGTGTCGATCTCTGCTGGCAGCCGTTGATAGGCGATGTAGACAATATAAACAGACCCAAGCCGTGATTGAATTGGTGGGAAGAATCAAAACCCGGCCAAGCATGTTGCACGAGGATCGGCCCGTCGAAGCTACCATAGACTTGTTACCTTGACACCTGTTATTTTGTCTATGGTCTTGGTCCTGTCCTGAGAAAGGATAAGGTGTCGGAGGTCGACCAAGCTCAGGACACTATAATACTACATAATGGATTAGTGAGGTCATGATATTTGGTCACCATTTCGTGGTCTTGTGCCCCCTCAGAGATAAAGAACAAAAAGTTCGAGAGAAGTCATAATTGAAAATGACATGACATGGGGCTCTTAATTCCATGGGTTACATTTGTGACTAACGTACAGGTCGAGCTGTGGTGTCGTCTCTAGTGTCGCCGAGCTCACCAGTCATTGTCGAGTTGTGGCGGCGCCTAGTACACGTTTGGTTCACCACCTCACCTAAGTCCCACAGCCTAGCACGTAGGTACTACATACAGGACCAATCTTGCAGGTAGCCAACGGCCATGTCGAGGGTTTGTTGAGTTGACAAGTAGAACAGTGTGCCAACGTTGCTTGGTGAGTGTGACCCTAATGGTAGGCTAATAGCGCCGAATAGTCTGGGTTTTTCGGCAGAGTTTCTTATTTTCGACTCTGTGTCCTGTTGATACTCTGCTGCTTCCGAAAACGGCCAGCCAAGTTTGTCCAGGTGAATATGTGATGGCTTATAGGCGAAGGAGTTATCACACGCATAACGTCTTACGAACTATAATAGATACATGTGAGATATTGGAAGATTCAAAATGCAACTGAGATATACCTAGCACAGCTAGCATCGAAGCCAGTACGAAAAAGGTAAGACAGGTAATAGATGGCTTTCTATAACAAGACTAACAACCAATTAGATTTCACGGGTTTATTCTTAAAAGAAATATGACGTCACCTCTTATGTGTTTTTCCTAGCTCAGTCCTCTACCCCTCCACCCCTGCCCCTCATTTTTCAAATAGGTACCTCTAGATAAGTATCGTACTATCATAGAGATTCGATGTCAGATATTGATATTCTGCGTAGATAGTAACGCTGCAATAGAAGAGGCTCTAAGGAAGATCCATACTAATAAACGCCTTGCTTCTAGATTGAGCCACCTGAGGCACTAGGGCGAAGAAATGGGACGATAGAGAGGTATGCAGCATGTTGATTTAGCTTAGAACCCCGACCGCATAATCGGCATTCCCTTGCAAAGTATCCGACAATCGAATTCTTAGTGCGTCATCGCCGATGCTCATAATCACCAAAACGAAAAAGAGGCCCGTGACTACCTAAGCAGCCTAAGCAGCCTAACTTCTAAGTGAATCTCCCCCAAGGTTTGACGAAGCGGTCTGCGAAAAGAAAACGCCAGTAATATCATCGAACCTCGTTATATTAAAAAAAGAGATATTATAACTCGGCGTAAAAGCAGCTCGGTTTACGATTACCCAAACAAGTATACTAGCCACCAAGAGTCCAGGTTTGTCCCTAGTAAGCTGCATTAAGAGCTACATGTGAAGGATCATAAAACCAAGGCTACATATGATGACGTAGTCTAGATATTTTCCTCTCAGTCGGGGAAAAGACTCTGGAACCAAAGACCATCTGGAAAGTATTCCGAGAGTTTGGGGTAAACATAGATTCGTCTGTCGGATATTGATTCTGCACATAAATTAACCCGGAGCTTTCTCTCCTTAGGTAATGTCGTGAAACCTCATATTAGATGAACATTGAAAAGACTGAACATCCAAGAATGGGAATATCGAACGTATCGGATTCTTTCGGATTATATAATCCTACCTAGTAGATAATTAAAACCCGGCATTGGATCTTGGACCTTGAACCTTGAAGGTTGTGCACTCCCCCCTTTTAGGTAAGCGGTGAAATTCCCACCTAGTTCACCACTCCCACATCTAACCCATTGACGTCATTTTTTCTAAAAACCAGAAAGTAGATCAAAAAAGGTATCTGACGAATAGTATCAACTTTCCAATACAGTCAAATATCGTCAACATTCAATCATTTCGCGCAACACGCACATAAAATTCAACCAACTGGAACCGAGCGTGATCAAAACTTTTTCAGATTCGCCCCTGGAGTCTGCTCCGACTCCGAGCAAGGTTTTGTTTAGAAGTAAACAATTGGACCCTGACGATCATTGACTCGGGAAGCTAGAGATCGTCCGGAGATCCTTTAAATATGTCAATAAACCCGGCATCCGCTCTGTTGCTAAAGGCCTCCCTCCAACGTATCCTCGTTGCTATTTCCGTTAACCAGGTCAGCCACCTTCATGTCGGGTCGCCTGAAAGTGTCGTACCGAAGCTGTCAGTCAATATGAGTTTGCATATATGCATGTATATGTCTCTACTCAGGTGGTAACCCAACCCAGCAGCGACTTAGACGGGAGAGGACTATGCTCAGTGACATCATTGTGTATTTTCTCTCGCGGGGTGCAGACGCCACCGATTTCTTCATGAATAGACTTGCGGATAGCTACCTACCTAGTCAGAGAGGAGGGTTGCCGCGAAGATACCATACCACTTGTATAACTCGAACCTAAACTTCATGATAGACAGACCTCTACCCAACTCCTTGGCACTTGGTTTCATCGCATAGGTCTGTATCCGCTGTGCCTAGGTAACTAGATGGGCAGGTAGGTAGTATCTGTGTAGGTAGACAAAAACAAAATCTCTATCCCGAAGACAGAACATCCACAGCTTGAAGTCATGGATCTGAACAGAAGGCTTCTTCCCGGTATTGGATGCACCAATTGACGACGTACAGCATGATAAATGAGACAACATTGTGTAAGTAGTCAAGAAATATCGTATAATTGATACTTAGGATGCTAGGTATTCATAACCAAACCTCTCATACGCATGATCTTAACCTGCCTCAAACCTATCATTATCCATTCCTCGTTTGGAACTCGCCCGGCCTGGATCCAGGAGCTATCGCTATATGTGGCGTACCTAGGTAAGTACATAGGCATCGCGGCAATACACCCTTTAATCGCCACCAACGGCTAGGGGCTCCACGTTCCAGATACCCTCCGCGTACTCGTTGATGCACCTATCGGAGCTGAAGAAGCCCATTCTAGCTACACTACGGATACACTTGGATACCCACTCATCCTGGTTACGGTACTCCTCGTCCACCATCTTCTGCGTGTCGAGGTACGACTGGAAGTCGTCTGATACTAGGTAATAATCACCGTGGTCGCGGACAGCTGAGATGAGCGCGTTGAAATCGTTCGAGTCACCGAACGTACCGCTCTTAATAGCTTCGAATACCTGGTTAAGACCAGCATCAACAGCATGTGTGCCGTAAGTATGGGCATGTCGTAGATCCTCAACGTCCTCGGACAGTGTGCCAAAAAGGAAGATGTTTTCTTGTCCAATTTCACGAGTGATTTCAATCTAGAAATTGTAAGTGGTAGTCAGTTTTAGGGGGGGTCACTAATGACTTACGTTGGCACCGTCGCAAGTTCCGATAATCAAGCCACCGTTTAGTACGAATTTCATGTTGCTGGTTCCGGAGGCCCTATTATAGTGTTAGTTCTTGGTCTATACAAATAAATGTCTCATTACGTACTCGGTACCGGCAGTCGAGATATGCTCGCTGAGATCGGACGCAGGAGTAATCATCTCCGCCTTGCTGACGTTGTAGTCTTCTAGGAAAATAACCTTTAGGAGATCACCAATATCGGGATCATTGTTGACAACAGCGCCAACGCTATTGACAAGGTGGATGATTTGTTTGGCCATCCAATAGCCCGGTGCTGCCTTTCCACCGAAGATCGAGACGCGAGGTAGTTGCTTCTTTCTCTCTTCGGGGCTCAATTCCTTGAGTTTTAGATACCGGTAGATGACGCCGAATATGTTTAGCTGTTGCCTCTTGTACTCGTGGATTCTCTTCACCTGGACATCGAATAGAGACGACGGGTTGACCGTGATGTCCATAGTGCTCTTAATATACTTCGCAAGACGGACCTTGTTAGCATACTTGATCTCAGCCCATTCCTTTCTGAAGGCTTTATCATCAACAAACTCCTCTAGCCTATTGAGAAGGGTGAGGTCCTTGAGGAACTCGTGACCACCAGTCTTGCTGGCAATGAGCTCTGAAAGTCGAGGATTCGCCTGGTGCAACCATCGTCGTGGCGTAATTCCGTTTGTCACGTTGGTAAACTTGTCAGCTCCAAAAATAGTAACAAAGTCTTTGAAGATGGTTGTCTGGATGAGATCTGAGTGCAGCTCAGCGACACCGTTAACCTTGTGGGAACCAACAACTGCTAGGAACGCCATTCGGACCATCTTTGGCTGAGATTCTTCAATAATGGAAACTCGGCGCAACATGTCTCGATCATTAGGGAATTTCTTCTCTACGATTTGTAGGAAGAAAAGGTTAATATCGTAAATAATTTGAAGATGACGAGGCAGGAGATGTTGCATCAACCCAACAGGCCACTTCTCAAGCGCCTCAGGCAAGACAGTGTGGTTGGTGTAGCCAAACTAAAACTATGTCAGCAAAAAACTCAAACAAAATAAGGCACGATCACTTACTGTCGATGTGACTATCCTCCATGCTTCATCCCATTCAAGACCTTCTACATCTATAAGAATCCGCTGAAGCTCTACGATAGCAAGCGTTGGGTGAGTATCATTAAGTTGAATTGCGACCTGGTCGGGGAATTCGCTCCAAGCACGCTTCGTCTTCTTGAATCGACGAACGATGTCGTAAAGCGAAGCGGCAACCCAAAAGTATTGTTGCTTGAGACGCAACTCTTTTCCACGATCTAGGTTGTCATTCGGATATAAAACGGCGCTGATGGTTTCGGCTCGTTGCTGGTCTGCTACTGAGCTTTCGTATTCCCCGCTGTTGAACTTTTGAAAGTCGAACTCGCCACTGGCAGCTTTGCTGGACCATAATCGAAGGTTGTTAGTGGATGGTGTGTCGTAGCCAGGAATTGGCACATCGTAGGCTACAGCGGTGACAATTTCGCCGCCATCCCAAGTCGCCAACGTCTTGCCATTTTCATCTTGACTCTTACGGACATTACCATAAAATTGAATCTATATATTTGGTTAAGGCGACGTTCTGTGTAAATGAGAACGGATTGTAAGTATTGGCTTACATCGACAGTGACGTCATGTCTTGGGAATTCCCAGGGGTTAAAGTCAAGCCAGTAGTCGGGTACCTCGACTTGGTATCCATCAATGATCTCCTGCTTGAAAATACCATACCGATATCTCAAACCATATCCCCAGGCAGGGAAATTCAAGGACGCAAGGCTGTCGAGGAAACAAGCTGCAAGTCGTCCAAGTCCACCATTTCCTAGCGCAGCATCGTGTTCTTGGCCGATAATGTCCTCAATGCGGAATCCGAGGTCCGAAAGGCCCTCTGTAGCAATGTCAGATTAATCAATCATACGATCAAACATGTATGGCTTGATCCTTACCTTTAGCAGTGCTTTTCGCGCCAACATTGAGCATAGCATTGTCTAAAGCACGTCCCATCAAGAACTCTAAACTGAGATAGTAGACGCGCTTACTATCAGCAAAGGTCTGGCGCTGCTGAGTCTTGTTCCATTCTTTAATTAGGCGATCACGCAGCGCCAAGCTGGTAGCCGAGTATGCAGCTGACTCGTCGCAGTTGAACATGCTACGAGCCAAAGTTGTCTCAACATGTCGAACGACCTCCTTTTCAAACTCGTCCTTTGTCTTGAAACCTTCGAATTGGTATTTGCTCCATACTTCACGTTGAGGTTCGGGGATCGCCGCTATACGAAGATCATTGGGTCAATGAGTGGTTCGGTATAAGAATAGCACGAATTTAGAAATGATCTACAGCTATAGGGAGAGAAATGCACGAAGACTGATACGGACCTTCTACATTTTTGATATCACTGGCCCCGAAACCCGTAAAGGTGCGCTTGTGTTTAGGACGAGAGATGCCCGCGGGGCCCACGGAACCGACGATATCGACAATAGGTGCCGCCGTCGAAGGGCGACGTTCCCTAGTTGGTAGACGTTCTGTCGAAGCCATTTTAAAAGCTGGAACTTAGGATCTGAGGCTACGTCTAAAGACAGAACGAGCTAACTAGGACAGAGAAAAGCTGAAGAGCTCTTAGTTAGAATAAAAGAAATAGACATTGCGGTTTATTATAAGGATCTGAAGGCCCTAAAAACGACCATGGAAGCATGCAAGACTAGTTGGCGCACGATGATTACTTACATAGCTGGGTCCCAAGAGCCAATAATAAGTGCGAAGCAGGGGTAACCGATGATAGAATTGAGGGGGCGGGGTTGTTGATGATAGAGCTAGCAGGGTGAGCTTGTAAGGAGAGGAGATAGAGCTCCGGTTCCTGGTCGAACGACGATCACCGCGGGGCAACTAAAGCTCTTCCTGTCTCTGTCTCTCTTCCAACACGATCAACCTTCTTTTCCACGAGGATGGAGAGAGGAGTAGAAGATAGGTAAGAAATATCAAAGAGAAAAAAAACAAAGGACGCCTTACGAATGATTTATAAAGGAGGTGATGTTGACGGTTGGGTACCTATTTATTTATAATTGGAATTGGTTTCTCGGAATATTAGTGGGTCCTTACCAAGTGGAGGGGGGATACATAGAAAGTTGACAACTTCAGGTGTCGTTGAAAAGAGAAAAAACATGCGATGGCTTAAGTACGATGACGACGTTTGAAGCTTGTGAACGCTGCAAGCACTATGCTCAAACAGTAGAAAACGTGATCAACGGCAGGAATGATGATCGTAGAACGCAACTTCCCTGTCTACCTGTACATACTTGCATACATCGAGGAGGTAGGCACAGAATATAATGTTGCTCAATACCTACCTAGGTACCCACCTGCCTATCAACTCACAATGAATGTGAGAATGGATGGCGGAAGAGATGGACGAGAGCTGCGACAAGTGCGGGGTATAAAATCCATAATAGCTGTCCAAGTCTAAATTACAACTAATTGGATACGATAGCTGAGCCTAAGAGTCGTCAACCTTAGAACAACCGAGGACTAAGTCAGTCAAGCCCAACATACTACTTGCGAAGCTTAGAAACCCAGATAATTTTGTTTATTAAAAAAGAGTACTAGATAAGTATATTCTTGAAATCATCGTAAGTGTTAGAATATATTGCGCCGGGAGGGGTATTCATGGTCTAGCTTCCCTTACTCATATCCATTACCTAGTGTTCTAATTAGAGCCCAGAGCTTGAACTTTTATAGTAACATCGGCTTCTTAACTCTTGGCAACCGCGCGCCGCTATTGTTTGAGACTCGCAGACGGCGGTTACTGGGGTATCAGTGCATCCATACACCCTACCTAGTACCTCCCATCTGCAGCTTGTTACACATATGTCATAACACTTCTTAATGCTACTTCCCATCTCGACATGGTCGCCTGACAGCATTAAAGATGTAGGTAGTCTCAAGACGAAGACATACCGACAGCCCCGTCAATCTTAAAGGGTATCCCGAATCAGCAGCCTACTGAGCTTATAGACTGGATAGCATGTCCACAATAAGCATGCATCGGCCTCTAATAAATGCTGTGCTACATAGATATGCGCGTAGCCGGCTTGCAGTCTGGGATATTGGAACTACTCCAACCGAGGTACTTCATCTCGAGTTAGAGTTTCAACAGTTTCCTTTCAACATGTCATACCGTTGTCTCAAAGAGGCGGAAGCATTCTTATAGTACATATCTCTTACCTACCTGCCTAGAGATATAAACAGGTACCTATGCTCCCCAGCATAAGTAGCATATATGATCTAGAGAATAAACTCATAGCTATCATACTCTTCTCCGAAACGTAGCTTTTACCGATAAAGATAAGTCGACATAATCTCTAAAGTCGATCCTCTATCTGCGAAAGATATGGAATACTGCTCAAGACACTCAAGCTAAGTCTAAGTCTAAGAGAGAAGAGGAACCGGTCCAGGGAAATCTAGGTAACTTCACCTACTTCATGTTTAGATGTTAATCGAAGCTTGTCCAGCCAACTTTACGACAGCGTCAGCCCACCAGTACCAGCCGTTCACATACCTAGGTAATTCACGCCTCATAGCTTCTGTCAATCCCAATTATTACGATCGATATATTTAACCCTCCACGAATCTATAATTAAGTGACTTAATTTCTAGGTAGGTAGGCTTAAACCCGCTTGATAAAATACATAATGAAGACGACTTAACCTCGAAGGGCACCTCAGCGCCATCTCCGGTTTCTTCAGGTCCAACGATGCGCCACCCCCTCAGCTGCATCGTGTACGACGCCGCGACCTCCGGGTTACCGATCTCACCAGCAAAATATAAAGATTTCGTAGTTCTGAAGATTATTGCCTGACAAGTCGAAGAACATTCGTTATGCCTAGGATAGGCTAGGTATTGGATTACCACCTAAAGCCCGGGTCAGACCAGACCTCAAGTGCTAGTCGTGCTTGCTGTGGGTGATTCGCGTGCCCGTGATTATGCAGATGCCTGCCTCTGCCGACACTCAAAACAAGAGTTTCTCAAAGCAATTGTAGAAGTAGCGAGGGAAAAGGGGTAGTATGAATATTCAAGCAGGCACGACGTAAGAGCCTACGTCGTGTAAATACAGTACCAGCACCATACACGCATTCAAAATAACCAATATGCAATATTTATTCATGATCTTTATTATCTTCAATATCTTCCGCGTCTTATAGACGTCTAGGAAGTTCTCTCGTAGGTTTTACATCATGAATGAGGCACCTATCGTAAGTAGGCCTAACTGAGGAACCTGATGGTAGCTATCTCGCGGGATATAAGACCCGACCATGAGCTACCTACTCGGCATGGTATCCGCTAAACTCAAGGATACCTTTCTCTGCCAGTATAGATATCCAGCGTTGGTCCCCTTTCTGCCTCCGTCATCGATCTCATATCGAATCACTATATGTGGTAGTGTGGCGCTCTCCCTCCTTCTCTTCCGCTCCGGCGTCGGGCACTAACCTTCTAATGGGAACGAAACACATTAAACCGTCTCTCTCGCCCATATTCTTCCTCTGTGGCAAGTTGTAATTTTCTGTCGCCGTTTCCGTGCCTCATTTCCATATGCCTCGAAACATATTAAAAGCCTTTGCGAAAATAGTCGAGTCCATGACGCCTTGCGAAAACAAAAGAAGTAAAAGAGAAAAGATAAATTTGCGTCAGGTTCCCTGCCCAAAACTCCTTGCCAATGCTTTTATGGTCCCCGCCATCGCATGAGACGAGATGATGCCTCGATTGGGCCATGAACGTTAGAAGAGACGAAATCACAAGATGCCCGAATCCTTAAGCGCATTATTGAGTATCGTTTCCTTCACAGCCGCAAAAACTAGGCGGATGTTAGAAGTGTCCGTCGCTTGGGTCAAGCTAGACAATTTACGTTAGCCAATAGAACAAAGGAATTCACTTAAAAAGAGATCAAAACATACTGAGGGTATAAATTAAGATGAGCTCTGTTAACCTGATTGAATCTCCAGAGTAAATACTTCGCAGCCTTGTTGACGTCGTTACCACCAGAATAATCTGGGAAGTAATTTCCTAGCGGTGATCTAGGAAGCTTGACTTTGAATATGTCGACTTTGTTCAGGAACAATATTATGCTCGTTCTCATAAACCATCTCGAGTTAACGACTGAGTCGAATAATAGTAGACTCTCCATCATTCGATTCTGACAAAATGTTAGTCTAGGCCATCCCTTGCTTCTGGTAGTTTCTTGGAAAATACCTGGCTGCTTTCTTCGAGTAACACCTGATCGTACTCGCTCAACGCCACGCAGAATATGATAGAAGTGACATTTTCGAAGCAATGAATCCACTTTTTCCGTTCACTTCGTTGCCCACCGACGTCAAACATGCTGGACACCAAATGTTAGAGAATCTGGGTTGTTTGGGAGTTTGCCATATTCCACCACTTACTGAATGCTGAGGGCTCCCATCTGAAATCGCGTCTCGTAAATACCCGTAGTCTTCGTTCGCGCACGGAGGACATCCATCTCGTTAGGCATATAATCTGGGGCGCATATTCGCGCTACTTCGTCGAAGAAACTAGTATGATGTGAATAAGACGTAGCTGGACAAAAAACAGACATTTTTCACTTACTATCCGGCGGAATCCATCAAGTAGAATTCGGTGGAGTGTTGCATGAGCCGCTCGATGCAAGGGTCATGCCATATGGCGTGTACGGCCGTAGCTACCTTCTGTTCGATATGCGCTGATGGGCCTGATTCGACGGTGTATCCTAGCAGATAATCACAGTATTCTTTATTTTCCTCGTTGCTCGCCACGATATCGAATTGGTCCATGGCAATTATTATAGCTTTGGCGCATTCGATCAAGTTCTTGAAGACCGTCGCGCGGTAATTGTAAAGCTCATCTTCCGAGTAACCTTTCAGATGAATAATCTTCATCTGCTTGACAATTGTTGACTTTCCGCTCTCGCCGGAACCTAGTAGGGAACCACGGTTAGTATCCAAACTACATAATCTAATAAACAAGCATCGAGAAACTTACCAAGGAGGAGGATCTTGCATTCTCTCCGCAACCTCTTAGAATCCTCATCAAGCGCGCGATCGATAGCTTGACTTCGCTTTTTTTGCTCCTCCTCCTCCTTATTCGAACTCATGCAAGCTCCCATCATGTAGAATAGCGGTGTTGGCTACCGAGCCAACGCGACGGACGACTAGGGTGATTGGAATAGAGGTTGGCGTTTATGACGCTCGAGATTATGACAAAGCGCCTAGATGATCAGAGATGACAGATGATATTCTCTATCGGCGCATGCTGGGGTTTTCCGGGATTCGTCTACTGTAACCCCGCTGCTGGTTACGAAGCCTCGGTATTGAAAGGTGGTTGGTGAAGCTGGTTGGGGTTGGCGTTTGGCGTTGATGTTGATGCGCTAATTGTTCACACAACTCGATGATGAGTTTTCTTTGTTCGGCAAAGTCAATTAGTCGATTCCAGGGAAAATTGGGAAGAACCAAGCTTCGATGGATAGTTCGGTAACTTTTGGGTTTGGGTTGATTCTATGGAGATCGGAAGGGTTTAACGGTAGTCGAGAAAAATATGACGAAATTGATTGTCAAGAAATATCTAAAGTAGGGAGGTGGTTAGCGTTAGCTCTGCCCCCAGTCTTATTAAACTCGGAACTGAAGTAGAGGCACATTAGACGGTTGATCGGCTAGAATCAACCTTGAAAGCGAGGCGGAGGCGGTGCTGGTATGATGTAGTCAGGATGTATATAATCGGTTGGTCCGGTCAAGTAAGAAAAAGAAAGAAAATATTAGGTTATATAAGTGATAAGTCATACGTTTCGACTACCGGCTGATGGCTACCTCAGATTATTCAACTTGGAATTCTTCGAGAAGGAATTGGAAGGATTCAGTTTCTTTTGCCATCCAGCTGGGCTCACTCATAGCTCAATGGAGGGTTGGAAGGTTGTAAGTTGGAGGGTTTCAAGGTTACATACCAGATTGGTCACCAAGCATAGAAGAATCAAGCATCAAGCATATACCTTACCTACACACTTTAGGTAGGTAAGGATCTGTTTATGATGTCGATGTCTGTGTCTGGACAAATCTCTGTCGCTTGACGTACTTGGTATGTGCAACGACAAAATGGGGAAACCCATAAACCCGCGCGGGCGTACAATGCGATAGTCGGGAAGGTCTCGACGATATGACGGGACGGGACGGGTCGGCTGCGAGCCCAAGGGGGTAACGGGAAGGGGCGAAGATCAATAGGCGATAGGCGACGGTAGTGTACACACAAACACACGATAGACACCCCTTCTAAGTTGGGGGAGATAAGTGAAGGGGATGTTCTGGTGTGTTGTGTGTATGTAGTGTGAAGAGTAAAGAGTGAGGAGAAATGGACGGAGCGTCGCAATAGTGTAGTAATCGGATACTTAGGAAGAATGCGAAAACGTGGGTAGATGGATGTTTATGCATACATACTACTAAGTAGATTCGGGTGTAGGTACAAAAAACAATTGCAATATATGTTCAGTGTATGGATGTGACGAGGATACGTCGTACGTGACTGTCTTGGACAAAGAAGGAGGGAAAAGAAAAAAAGAAAAAAAAATACAGCAAAGAATAAAATTGACAATGTTCAGATGATACGGTTTATGTGAAATTAATGTAACACTTACCAAGAAGTAGAAGCGAGTAATAACCAGCACGCAATTCCAATCTGTCCTACTAGTAGATATCGTAATCAAGGTGAAGAATTCGGCGGCGGCAGTGGTGACGATGACAGTGGATTCTTTTTTAAGAGCCTTAGAAATTTGGATGAATAACTTGTTCTAGAATTGGTCGAAAGTGAGGAGAGAAAGCTTGGGAGATCGTTAAAAACATAGGCGGTCACGGCAATCGGTGCTAGGTGGAAAGGTAACAGGATATACAAACGAGGCTTCAGGCTTCAGACGTGACGTTCTTCTCTTCTTGCAAAGAAGAATATAAAATAATCAAGAAAAACGGTGAATAATAATAAGCCAATGCCTATCGGGGATTCAATCAATCATGCTTCTCGAATTGGTCGAAGTGGTCAAAATGGTCGAATCGGTCGAATATGCTTGTCTTCTTTCGATTTTATTGCTCTTCCACCTTTCCACCTTTTTCCCTTTTGACCTTGTCACCTCCAAAATTCTCCAGTCAGTTCCAGTCCCTAGAAAAAGTCTCCAGAATCCCGAAGGGCTGGAGTGCCTAAGTGAGGACAACACACGCTAAAACCTCACCGCAACAGCTAACCTAAAAAGGAAGCGATCGCTAAGGAAAAGTAAAAGATGAGAAACAACGCAAAAGCGTAAAAGGTTTTTCAATAATATTAATATCTTTACTGTTTAATTAATTGTTTCACGGCCAATATTGCATCAAAAGATTGATAATTAGGATCAATCGATAGCTCTAAAAACGCGCAATCGAATAATACTAGGTGCATTAATATCGCGATATTTTTGAGTGAAATATAAAAAGATAAAGATAAAATATTTATTAAAAAATATTAAAATAAATTTATTTAAATAAAAAATATTTTAATAATAATATTAATTTATAAAAAAAATAAATATAATAATATAAAATTAAAATAATATATATAATATATTTATATTATTAAATATATAATATAAATTTTTTATTTTTAATAATAATATATATATATATATATATATATATATATATATTATTTTATATAAATTAAATAATTAATAAATATTTTATTATAAAAACGTAAATAATTAAATAATTATTATTTAATTTTAAAATTAAATTTAAAAAATTTAATCGAAAAAAAAATATTTATAATTTATATAATTATATATTTATATTTTTTTAAAAAATTAAAAAAATTAAAAAAAACATTATAATATATAAATATAATATATAAAAATAAATATTAAAATTTTAACATTTATAATATAATTTAAAAAACTTTAATTATATTAAAATAAATAATAATTAAAATAAATATTTATAAATATTATATTACGATTTAATATTTAAATTAATATTAAATTAATAAAAATATAATAATAATAATTTTAAAATAAAATAAATAATTTAATAATAATTATTATTTTATATATAATTTTATAATTTTATATTTAACGAAATATTTAATTTTAATTAATATTTATTAATAATAATAATTATAATTATTATTATTTATAAATAAAAAAATCGTATATTTTTTAAATATATTAAATTAAAATAAAATAATTTTATTTTTTAAAAATTATTTAAAAAAAATTTATATTAAATAATTTAAAATAAAAATATAAAAAAATACGTATATTATTAAATTATTACGAAAATATAATTAAATAATATAAACGTTAATTTTAAATAACGAATATATATTAAAATTAAATATATCGAATTTATATATATATATAATTTTAAAATTAAATAAAAATTTAAATAATTAAAAAATATAGATATAATATTATATCGTAATTTAATATTAATATTAAAATTTTTATATATTAAATATAAATTAAATATAATAATATATAATTAATATTAATTTATTTTATATTTAAAATATTAATATATTTTTATTAATTTATTTTATAAAATAATAATAATATAAAAATAAATAAATTTTAATATTAATTAAATAATTATATAAAAATTTATATATAAAATAAAATATAATTAATTAATTATAAATTTAATTAATTATTTATTAATTAATAATTAATTTATAATTAATTAATAATTAATTTATAATTAATTAATAATTAATTTTTAAATAATTATAATTAAATAATTTTTATAATATTAAAATATTATATTAATATAATATTTATTTATATAAAAAAATTATTTAATTATAATTAATTAAAAATTAATTATCGATTAATTATAAATTAATTATTAATTAATAAATAATTAATTAAATTTTATATATTTTATATATTTTTTAATTATTTAAAATTTTATTTAATTTTAATATATTTTTTAATTAAAATTAACGTTTAAATTATTTAATTAATTATTTATAATAATTTATTATATACGTATATTTTTTATATTTTTATTTTAAATTATTTAATAAAATAAAATAATTTTATTTTAATTTAATATTTTATATATTTTTATTATATTATTTTATTATATTATTTTATTATATTATTTTATTTTAATATAAATATTTTAATTTTAAACTTTTTATTTTTTATATAAAATAATTTATTTAATTATAATTAAAAGTAATATTATTCGCGTAATATAAAAACCGGATTTTAATGCGTAATATTATATAATAACATTAAATGTATTTTTTTTTATATAAATTTAAATATAAATATATATATTAACGATAATTTAATTAATAATTTTCGAAACTTTAATTTTATTTTATTATATTTATATATTTTTAATTTTAATTTATTTTTTTTTCGATAAAATAAATTAATAAAATTTTTAAATTAATTTTAATTAAAAAAGTTTTTAAAAACGATTTAATTAATATAAAATATAATTATAATAATTAAAAATTAATTAATATATAAATGGTTAAAGTTAAAATTATATATAAATTATTTAATAAATTTTTAATCGAAAGTTTTAATTTTAAATATTAAATATATTATATATTTTTCGTTTAATTATTTAATTAAATAAAATTATTAAAAATATATAATTAATTTTTATCGATTAAATTATTAAATGTTTTTTATATAAATTTAATTATAAAAATATTTAATTCGAATTAATTATAAAAAAATAAATTAAATTAAAACGTATATTTTAATAATAAATTTAATAATTTATTTATTTTAAACTTTATTATCGAAGTATTTTTTTTATTTTAATTATTTATATTTTATTTAATTCGTAATTAAAATAAGTGTATTTTATATTAATTAAATTATAATTAATCGCGTTTTCGATTAAATAAAATTTCGTATTTTTATTAATTTATTTTATCGAAAAAAAATAAATCGAAATTAAAAATGTATAAGTAAAATAAAGTTTTTATTTTATATTAATTAAATTATTACGAATATAAATATTTTATACGCGATTTATATACGGGGAAAAATATATTCGATATTATTATATAATATTACGCGGAAAAATTTACTTTTTATATTACGCGGGTAATATTATTTATAATTAATTATTATTAAATTAATAATTTTATATAAAAAATAAAAAATATTAATATAATATTTTTATATAATAAAAATATAAATATAAATTTATAAAATTTTTAAAAAATATATTTTAATTTTTATTATATTATTTTATAAAAATATTTAATAAATTATAATTAATTATAAATTAATTAATAATTAAGAGTAAT